GGGCGGAACGCCCCGGCGGGCCCGGCTGAGCCACGGCGAAGGGAGAAGCTCGGGGAGTTCGTCTCTGCCGGGCCAACGGCGCGGAAAAGCGGGCGGCAGCCTCCTGTCAGAGGGTGGTTGTAAAACTTGAAAACCCTTAGAAAGGGAGGGACAGAAGAGGAGGAACATTGCCCAAGGCATGAGCTTTTTTTCAGGACTTGATACGATAGATTTTATTTTAATATCACGTAAAAAATGTCGCACGCAGTCCAGCTCAGGGAAGGCTGAAGTCCGGGCCCAGGCGGCTCCCGGTGCCAGCCCTGCGCGCTGCTCGGCAGCCTCGGCTCCACCTTAACGTTCCCGAGCGCAACTGTGCATGGGCAGTCATGTGCAAATGCACTTGATACACGGAGCGACTCGGTCTGCCTGGCACATCGCTTTGTCATTTACCCAGTGAAGTAAGTGCTCAGCGGAGTTGACAACTGTCTGAGCAAAGCTCAAAAAGCTCTGTTTAAGGAAGGGCGGGGAAAAACGGTTTTCACGTTTAAGAGATGTTTTTGCATAACCATTTAGGACTTTCTCAGACTAAAAATTTCAGTACCGTTTTGTGGGCTTTTTTCCTGCGGAGGAGTTTGTGGTTGGTTTGGTTTTTTGTCAGCTAGGAAATAGAATTTCTTTGACATAGCGTAATGTTGTGTTTTATAGAAGTATCACCTGATAACAAGCCCATTAACTAAAGAATTGTTAGAATGAAGTAGAGGGGATGCAAAAAAGCACCTGTATGTCAAACTGTATTTCAAAAACATTAAAGACCTGGATACTCTGTAGTGATGACCAGCAAGTTATTTCTGCCTTGCTACCTATTACTGTATAACTCGACAATGGGTTGTGCAACATATTTATATGGTTCCTAGGCAGATGGTTACCATTTGAACTTTAAACCTTTCCCCTTTCACTGCTACTATAATTCATAAATCATTCTAGTCCCACCCCTGGTAACACAAGACTTATTGTCAGTGTCTGTGCCAATAAGTAGGACGCATATCTGAGTGAAAACTTTATCTGAGTTAAAGAATACTAGAACGGGTCTTTCCTTTAAATGACTTTGTATCAGCCTGCTTCTTGTGGCCCCTGTGGCAATTTTTGTATCTTGGATACTTATTTTTTCTGTATCAAACCAGTGAAAATGCTCAGCTACAATATCTTGAGTTTCCTCAATTATTTGCTTTTTTTTATTCTCAGTAATTTTAATCAGTTCTCCCTATCAACCAAGAAGCAATGCAACATATGTAACATATGCAAATGCATTGGCCAGTTCTTCCATTTCCCTCAATAGTTTTTCAAAGGCTGTGATAGGACTTCATTTTATTCTTTGAAGGTTGACAGTTTAGGTAGTGCTACAGTAGTGCATTACTGTAATCTGAACTTCTTCCCCACAACTTCTATCCTACTGAATAAATTTACGTAGACTTGTTACCAGATTTCAGTTTTCTTCTGTATGTAGGTACAGTTTCTGTGATGACTCCTTATTAATTTCTGTGAAAACCAGTGCAATTTATATAGTGAGAAATAGAGCATAAACAACTCTTTATTTGTGTTCTAGGATTGCAAATTATACAACTTCTGTTAAGATACCCTTAAATAATCATAGAAAGGTGGAGGTTCGAAGTGGCATCTGGAGGTCATCTGCTCCAACAAGGCCACATAGAGCAGATTGCCCAGGGCTGTGTCCAGATATTCTGTTAATATTCTTGGTTTAAAAGCTGTGAAATTATCCATTCCAAAGCTCTACAGTTTTTTTCTTGAGAAAAAGAGAGATACTAAAATACTTCTCTGATCTAAGTTACACCATGTCACCACGGACTTTTTAAAAATATTTTTTTCTCTTAATGTGTAGGGGCATGATCTAGGATTTATGAAATTAGAGTCAGCTCTTGGAAGCTGACTGTAAGCCTAGGTAAAGTGTATGTCTACAGTAAGACTTGCAAGGTTAATGAATTAGGAAAATGGTAAGAGATGCAGGTTGCTACAATGAAGTGATAACTGGTGGAATAGAAGGCAGCAGCAGAAGAATGACCTAATTCGAAAGATGGCCCAGGAAGATTAACCTAGCTGTAGCATTCTGAATGTATAAGTTGTCACTTGGGTGTTTGTTTTTGTCAGAGGAAGTTGCTGTTGTTGGGTGAGAAGTGCAGGGATCAAACAGGGAGATTAAAGATTTTGTGAGAAGAAATGGAGGAGTTTAGATATGGCCCTCTAGTTCCTGAGCAGGTGTGTGACCATCAGCTGGCATATCAGGAGAAAAACGTGATGTTGTTAGTAGTTGCTTTCCCAAACAGGAGAAAGCATTTAATGTTTTTCATGAGACACTATTCTTACAGTACCTTAGCTAGCACTGGAGGGAGCTCTGGATACCAGAACTGAAGCTGATTTATATGTTGTATTCATGACGGGGAAGGGGAAAATGGGTGTGGACTTGGTTTAACATGTATCACCTTGCCTTGAGCCTGTGTACAGTATTGGTGAACCAGTCAGTTTTGATTGCAGCTATTTTATTTGCTTTTCAAGGCAGACGTTTACTTCTGTGTTTTGAAATTCACCGTGAATAAATTGGATTACTTACTAGTATTACTGTCAAACAATCCTGTCCTGCATGTAGCTGTTTGGCTTTTAGGTGTTTTGAAACTGTTTTTTTCCAAAGGAGACAAGTAATAGAAAACCACCTGGATGTGCAGTCTTGCTGGCTTTAGAGAGCCAAAAGGGACAGAGAGAATATGAAGCATGTATTTAGTTTAGAATATAATGCAAACCTAGAAAGAAAGAGCCTTTCTTTAGGTATGCAAATTGGTCCTCAGACTTTACGTCACAGTAATATTAGACTTTAGGTCAGATGTAAATTGTTTTCCTAAACATTAAGCTTGTCCAAATGTAAAACTAAAGTGATGTGACCTCTCACTGCAAATAAGATCAATGGGGTCTCACTGTCTCTGAATATAAATTGAACTCCTCATGTGAGAATTCTCAGGGGTTTTTTTTGCTTTATTTTACTGTAATTATCCAAGAGCAGGCATAGTAATATGACACTGGTTTAAGTAAACGTACTATTAGTGGGGGAGGAAAGAATAACTAGCAAGTTCTATCAGTTAAGAGCTGGAGCAAAGAGGAACAGAAGTGTAGCAGTTTGCATAATGTTTTAAGTGAGATCCTGAAATCAGTGGTTTGGACGACAGAACATAGATTACAATCATCTCACTGTGGTGGTTTTATCTGTGACAGCATGTGCTATATAAATGAATGGCCAAAAAGGTTTCTGAAAACATTTATTCAACAGTACAGTGATTATCAGGTAAGGCAAATATGATATTATTGTAGTAATACTACTGATGAGGGGAAACCCAGCATACAGGATATATCACTATTTACCACCTTGTCCAATTGTTGTAATACTAATTTTAGAAAGTCTTGTTCTATGTTTCACATTGTGAGGTAATGCTCTGTTGCAAAAATGTATATATCTTTAAACACACAAAAGAAATGTCTTTCCTTGTTGAAATCTTTGTTCTATGGCTTACAAACTTGTGAAAGTCTTGTATGTTCAACTTTTGTGGCCATTTAGTCACATATTTACAATCATGTCCTTGGGTTTTCAGGTTAATCTACTAATTGACAATGAAGCAGAGAAGGATTACCTTTATGATGTGCTGCGGATGTACCACCAGTAAGGTCTAACTTTATATATGTTTGTGTAGAATTTTACTGGTTTTAAATGTAAAGCATGAATATTCAAGATTTTAACTCTTTCTACATACTGCTAGATCTTTCTGTATGCTACTAGAAAAGTAGTTGAAGTAATAGGTTTTTATCCTGTCTAATGAAGTCTTATACTTTTACCAGCGTAGACTGCAGATAAGGAAGGAGCATGTCTGTGATCACCTGTAAAGTTGCTTTGGTTTTATGACTTGGCAGTTTTGTAAAAGAATTCGGTGGATTTTTATTGGGGGGAAGGGAAGCACCTAGATGATAAAACCCTTCTTAGGAAACAGGAAGAGGGCATTAATTGAATTCATTAGTATTTCCAAATAATGCTTATTTATTTGCAAGAGAGGTTTTCACTGAGTTTGTTTTACAAAGATTTTTGCCAGCTATATAGATGATAATTTATTTGTAACAGTTTTAACTGAAAGATGCAGTAAATTAGTTTGGAAACTGTTTGGCATGTTTAAGAACTCTGGCATAATGGGAAAAAAATGGTAAGGTGATAGGCCAATCCTTTTGTTGAACTGATTTAAACCGGTTGGTTAGGACCTATATCATTGCAAATGAGATCAGCCTCTGATCCATTGTTTTTCAAAGAAGATGAGAATGTATTTTCCACTCATCATGGGCAAGTGGCTCTCATAGACATTGTTTCTGTTCATATCTTAATTAATAGCATCTCAGCTGAGTGAAATGTAGACGTTTCCCTCTGATGTTTGCACTGAGCTATAGTTATGGGTGTATTCAGCTGCATATCTGGTTCAGTTTCACTCAGGTCTGTCTAATTGTTTCTCCATTCATAAAGGCTGTTGTTTGGAAAGCCAGTTGATTCAGTAGCTCTTAATTATTTAAAATCTTCTTGCAGTTACAAAATTAACAATGCATATAGTAACATTTCTTCTGTTTCTAAAATTGCAGTGACTTGAGTAAAATTTTCAATATCTCTGTGAACATATGTTGATGATGTATCACTTTTTTGGAATATGTTATGAAGTATTCCAGGGCAAAAATATGTGCAATTGCTGTTGGAGTTAACATTTAATGTCTGCTTCACTGTGAATAGAATTTCCAAAAGTATTTGACTTCTAATCCCATGTAATATGCATTCCTGATCTGTATTTTCAATGCATATGCCTCAGAAGTACTGTATGCCAGGAAATGTAAATTATAAGAGAGGGAACAGCAAATAATATAGACTAAGTTTAACTGGATGTTGTGTAGGAATAGCTCCACTGAACCTTAGGGAACTGCTCTTGCAGCTGAGTAACAAAGTATATTTTCTAGACCTCTAACTATCTCAGGGCTGATAATACCAAGGAGACTACTTTGCATAGCTCTCATAAAACAGATGTTTACAGCAGTTTAACTTCTGTAGATTTTGTTTATTGGTTGATGGCCCTTCAATCTTGATTTGAAAAAAAATTTTTAAACTTAAAGCAAGTCTTTGTTCTAGCTACTGAGTATTGTGATTTTTTTTTTTTCCCTGAATCAAAAGAATTTGTCAGTCCCCTAAGTTCAAGAAAGGAAGGAGCTTGTAGCCTAGATTCACTTAGAAGGATTCCTAACTAGTAAGGAAACAAAAATCTAGTAGGCAGGTATATTTGATCTTAAAAGTTATTTCCGAATGGTTCCTTAAATCTTTTGGGGACTCTGAGAATGAAATTAAAGATGTCATCTATAGAAGTGATGTTCATGACCTTAGAAGGTAAAAGCAATATATAGGAGATTTCAATTATTTTGAAGCAGGTAGTTGTAATTCCTCTTTGCTTTATCAGAGGCTATTTTGCTTTGGTTAAACCAGCATTGGTATAAATAACTACTTTCGTAGGTTGAAGGGACATGCAAATACTGAGGCCGCATGTACAGCAAGTTATTAAATGATGTTTTGTGTTGGTGTGTTGATTACCTGTGCTTGTTTTTTCACTATGTGTTTGCAGGTCTATGAATCTCCCAGTGTTTGTGGGGGACCTAAAACTTGTGATTAACGAACCAAGCAGGTTGCCTCTATTTGATGCTATCCGCCCACTTATCCCGTTAAAACACCAGGTCGAATATGATCAGCTTACACCCAAAAGATCACGGTAAGAGAATGCAGAACAATGCAGCTAAATTAAATACAAGCAAGAAATGCTGACTGAACTTTCAGATTAATTCAGAGTAAAATATCAGTCACCTATGTAAAGCTGGGCATAATTATTTTACTTTTGCTATATTTGCTAGAAATACAGTTTTGAGCTACTTGGAATTGTTTGTCAAGTAGTTTAAGAGAGTAAAAGCAGGGTGAGGGAGTCAAAACCAATGCTTTCCAGTTGAAATAATCTTTTCTCATTTTTCCTGCATTTAATAATAAAAAAATTCTTATAGCTCTAACCCTCTAGAAGCAGACAGCTTTGATGGTTGCGAATGTCTTTTCTTACGAAAAATCTTGATGGCTTTAGCTAACACATATGGATCCAAACTTAAGTCAACTTGTTTTTTCCATACCTAAATGTTATCAGAGAAAAATAATGTGTACCTTCCAGATGAAACATATTGCCACAAGTGTTATGCAGCTGAACAGTCAAGTCTCTTCCATTTATGCAGAAAGCTGAAAGAAGTGAGATTGGATCGTATGCATCCTGAAGGACTTGGAATAAGTGTGAGAGGTGGACTGGAATTTAGCTGCGGCCTCTTTATCTCCCAGTTAGTTAAAGGAGGACAGGCAGACAATGTTGGACTTCAGGTAGGAAAACTATATTCATGGCTGCTGTGCTGCAAAAAGCCTTTTATGACAATGGTAGGGAAGTGGGCAGTAAGAATTGTTCTTTAATATTTAGAAATAGCTATTGCTAAGGTGCTGTTTCTCCCTTGTAATAAAATTCATAAAATATGTAAGTCAATGCCATGATAAATACTGTTATACCAGTAGTAAATCAAGTTATTAAAACTGTTCACCATTTTTAATGATATGTAAACCTTTTTTTCATATATGGAATATAATAGTTTCTGAAGATAAAAGGGCTTTCTGGAGTTGTTATCCAAAATGTATTAGACTGGCATGATTCATTACGGTGTTTAATGAAAGTGTTTTGTAAATATGATTCAGTATAACCCCTGGATGCTTTTAGAAATTCCTCCTTAGAACAAAGCCACAAACCTTGTATTTAGTTAGAATTGAGAGGGTGGCATAGGGCACTACAAACACTGTGCTGGATGTGTCCATAGCTTACTTTTAAGCATGGGATTTGCCAGTTGGTGACTCTGGAAAAGAGTGTTGATGCACCTTCCCAGAGTTTCACTACATTACACAGTGAGAATAGGAAGTGTAGGCAGGAGAGTTGTTCCTGGGTTGTGATCAGCTCAGTAGAGAGATTCCAGCTGCATCCTTGCTCCACTGCTAGAAAACTGAGAAAAAGACAAAGACGAGTCACATATATGGCTTTTGAAAACATCTCCTGGAAAATACTGGAAGGTGTTAATGATGCTGAGCAATAACAGACTTAATAGCCACTGTCTTAAACTGTCGTGCTTGTGCATTCATCATGACGCTCTGTTGCAGCTCTGCTTCTCTGCTTGGACTAATGTTTTGACACAATTGATGGATACGGTGTTCTGCGCAGTTGTTGTGCTGCTGTAAGGATGTCAATTTTTTTTTTTTTTTTTTTTTTTTTCTCAGTACACAAAAAGGTTATACAGGCTTTCTGTGACTGAGGCCATCGTACTACATGTTGGTGACAGTCAATGGGTTTGTGAAGGATCTTTGGGCTGGGTTGTACAAATTGTGCTGCAACTCAGAACGTGGTTAGAGTTTGCCAGACAAAGTAGGGACAGTAAAGTGGAAAATATGCTTGAGACTGTGACTATGCGTTTGTTCAGCTTAGATTATATGTATTAATATGAGCAGATGGTGCTTTGCATCTCATGTAACTCTGACTTCGTTTTTCGGTATGTGGTGTTAAAAGCTCAGCCTAAAGTGCCTTCATAATAGGTGGCACTAGGCACTTTCTGAACCCCACAGGATAACAAGAGCTGACAGGCAGTCCATTGTTATAAATCGCTGTCTCACAGTAAAGCCAACTGCTTCTGAAATTTCACCCACCTGCTTTATTTAACTAAATCTCTACACATTTTCTATCCCAAAAATACAGTCTGAGAAAGGTATAATGATCTTCTATTATACCATCAGTTTTACATCCTGCTGCTTTTTAAAAATTCCAATTCATTTTGCATGATTTCTTCTTGAAGTAGTTTCCAAGCTATATTAAAATGCCTGAATTATCATGAAGGCTCACTAAAGCATTTGTAGTTTTGACCCTTTTCTGACTACAGTTTCTCTAAAAGGCAAATGTTTTGTGCTTTCATGAAGAAATGTACTTTTTTTTTTTTCTCCTTCTGCTTTCTGATACTTATGTCTGTGGGGATTCTGCTGAATACAATGAGATAGAGATTGGTATGAATGATGAAAGTGGAAGAAGTATACAAAATAAGAAATTTGAAACAGTGATGATGTTATGTAAAAACCCTTTCATTTCCTGGAAGCACTAAATATTATATTTCTCATGTTAAAAGTTACAAATAATAGGCATTTTACTTGGGAAAAGTTAGGTTTGCAGCTTTTCTTTTGAAAGTCTATCATCTTCCTGTTTGATAGAGAATGGGGAAACAGTGATATATAATAATATAATATTATTGTTCTAATGTGCTCAATCCTGCAGACTTTTATCTCTACTACTTCTGATTCAGAAGGTTGTTATACACTGATACCTGTACAAAAGTATCAAAATATATGAAAACAATTATTAATTACTTCAGTGTATATAGACACATTTTTCAGGAAAAGCCATTCAAGTGTCCTTCAGAGAAGCAGTTTGTTACACGCCTATGTCTCCTTTAGTTCAGCCTAGACTGGGATATTTCTAAAGCGCCATCAGTAATACATTCTCAGTCAGTAACACAAATGTCATTAGGATGAGTGAAGAGTACTAGACTGTCTTTTAATTTTGTTTCTGAAGCTCAGCAAAGAGGAGTGTTAAAAATATCTATATGGGAAAAGCTCATTCCCATATAGGAGGAAAAATAAAATAAGCTCTTGGCTACATTTGTAATTTTGTGTGTGCCTTCTAGGGAGATGATGTGATACTAACAGGTATGAGTTGCTTAGTGAATGAGGACATCCTCAGAGCAACTTGTTTTGCTGATACAGAAGCCATATGGAGACTCACAAATGGCACTGCCATTTGCAGTCCTAAAACTGAGATGCTTTTGTGTATTAAGGCATTGCAGTTAATAACAGTAGGTTAGGTTACCCTTTTAAAAAGCTGGGTTTGTGCAAACTCATGGTCTGTTTCATATAGCCATTGTCTGTTATAGCCTATGTGATGCAGAAGATGTGAGTAAAGGAGGGATCTTGAACTAAACTAAAACCAAACAAAGCCCTGCCAACAAGTACGTAAGGTCAACAGAAAAGTCTAGGTAGATCAAGTGAGGTCAGTGTTGCATACCTGAGGTTAAATAGTTATACACAAATGATATTTTCGCAAGTCAGTAATCCAGAGAACAGCCAGAGACTGGAGCGGAGGAAGCTTTTTGAGCATTTCATTACTGAGGTAGTTAACCTTCTTTCAAAAAGCAGAGATGTCTCACTTTCCTACCATTTCCTAGAACAACCAGCAGAATCCTAAATAGGCTGAGAGTCTATGGTTTGTAGAGGATATTAAGTCTTTGTGGACAGTGCCACAAGTCTGACTTGTCTCTGAGTCATTTTGCTTCTTGGCAGTACAGTTGCATTGCCAGTGTTAATCCCAGTCCTAAAAGTGCATTATTTACAATGGCTTTCCTGAAGTGTTGAGGGCAATGGAACAGCTCTAGACTAAATTCTTGGGTTTGGGGTGGGGAACTAGCTTAGAATTTAGTGGTGTATTTGCAGGGGAAAGAGGACTGTAGTGGCACGGATGCCAGGCCTGTGGCCTGGATGAATGGGTGGGTGCATCGATGTGGTTTTGAACATTTGGAACAAGTGGGTGAAGTGACTTCTTTCCTAGTGAGACCTATCAGGGGTAAGATGCTAAACTGCAGGGCTAAGTGCTTTTTATTGTCTGATTCTGCATTTTTACCAGAAGTTGTATGCTCAAAAGTCTTCAGTACTGACCTATTTCTGCACTTATTAAAGATCGTATTAAAAACCTGACTGGCTTCAATGAAAACACTCAAGCTCTTGGGAGTGCTGCAGATTGCAGACGGCGGCTGCCCCGGGTGAGATGTTTGGATGTCCAGCAGGCGGAGCAGCCGTCCTGCTGGTTAGGGGCTGGGGACCAGAGGAGTGTTCTGCAGGACAGTCACATACTACTGCATTCTCTTTGCTTTCGTAGTCTTCTGATGGTGCGTTGTGTCAGATAAAAGTCTTTATGTTCAGTGGAGAGGAAACTGCACTAGATGAGCTAAGATGGTACAGTGGATGTGTTGTTAGTGTTTTGTGTACTATTGCAGAGCATATGGCACTTCCCAGAAGAAGTAGAAAAGTTCGTGAAAGAAGGGAAGAAAAGTGGGTGGTTTCTTGTTTTGCTTTTTGCTTGGTTGTTGTTTTGTTTTGTTTTGTTTTGTTTTTTACCAACTGAACAGATTACAGTAGGAATATTTGATATTATTTATTACATATGAAAAAAGGCAGAAGATGGTGCAAATTACTGTTCCTTTCAGTCAAGTTATCTTAATGGAAATTTTCCTCAAGGGTATGACTAGTTTTGTCTCTCCTATTCAGAGTGTATGTTCTTGGTCTGCTCTGTAGCTGACTATGCTCCCTGTCCCCCATGGAGCCCAAATATATATATTGTGTACACACAGAAACCTGAGTAAGCTCGGGAATAAGTGATCAACTTGCCTTCTGTCTGGTGGGAGCGTCCTTCTATGTTTCAGTCTCAAGTTTTCACTTCTTTTCATGTCACACAACAGGGGGAATGCCACGGCCTAGAGGCCATGGTAGGGTGGTGGTGCCATCTTCTCAACTATAGTATATGATGAGTTGCTGCTGTGAAACACTTGTAAATCTGTCACACAGGAGTAGCATGCAATTTTGTATCTAATGTAGTGATCCAAGAAGACTTAAGATACTGCACCTCAGAATAAGCATTCCTTATGCTATTTTGTGACTATAGTTAATCTGAAGTTACACCTGAAATGGAGGTAAATAATGCATTGTTCAATAATGCTGAATCCGGAATCAAGCAAGTTAGTAAGACCAAGTTTAGTTTCCTATTGGTCACAATAGTTAAGAATGTATCTTGGAGAACATATGGTAAAATCAAACTTATATGAAGGAAGAAAATCACTCCAAAATTATTTAAGTGGAAAGATGAGCACTTAAATACAAGGTAAGCTGTGGGGTATAAGTCTGATATGTAGACACTGGATATTATTATAAAATTGTTTGGTCATTAATCTCCCCTTTTGGCATTAAATATTAAGTTCAGACAAATCGGATAAATCTGATCTGGATATTACCTGAAATTCAAACTGGATTCAGGACTGAACATTTTCAAACCTTTGCGTCAAATGATTGCCAGATTGCATCATTGATTTAAAAACCTTTAAATGTTAATTCACAATTTATTGTTTCTTCTCCCTTTCATTTTGAGGTTGGAGATGAGATAGTGCGTATAAATGGATATTCCATTTCATCATGCACACATGAAGAAGTCATAAACCTAATTCGTACAAAGAAAATAGTGTCCATAAAAGTAAGACGTAAGTAACGTAAAAACTCACCTGTATCGCTAAAGATTGGTGTTAATAGATTGCTGGTGATCTGTAGAAAGTGTTACCTAATGGAGTATTTTTCTTTTTCAGATATTGGCATGATACCTGTCAAAAGGTAATGATATTTAATTTGAAAACTACGTAGATTATTTATTTTTACATAGCCTCTTCAATACACAAGGATCCTCTGTGTTTATCTGTATATTTGAAAATGTGTGAATAGGCATTTTTGTAGCTGGTTAAAATGTCACATTCTTTGTGATAAACAGGCAGATGTCGTGTTTGATGAATCTGGCTTTTTATGCCAGTTGCCTACTTAAATGAACCAATTTCTATTTCCTCATTATTTGTGGATATTACCTGGAAATTTCATTATCAATGCATCCAGCTTAACAGAGAGCTCCACTGCTTCTCTATGTACATAACATTTGAGGATTGCTTCAGAGCTTAGAAAAAAATTCCAAGTATTGTCCTCTTCCAATTTTTGTTGAAAAGTTGAAACTTTAAGTGGATGTTTGAGAAATGTTAATGATGGGAGTTGTCTCGCTGCATAGATATTTATATAAGCTCTTCAAGTTGTTATGGTTATTCTCACAGTCTTAGAGTTTCCCAAAATGGTTTCACTTGAGGAGGTTTTCTCAATTTTATGTTTTACCAGCTTTACTAGCCTAAATAATTGTGTGCTTGATTGATGTTCTATTTAAATTGCTGGAAAACAAACCAGTTGTTGTGAATGGTATCCAAAGGAACATGTGGATGCAAAATAGGAAGCTGCATTCCAAAGTAGCTTCTTGAATACATTTACATTTATTTTGTCTTTATTATTTTAAATTACTTTTTCCTTCCAGTTCAGCAGATGAACCCCTTAAATGGCAATACGTGGACCAGTTTGTGTCAGACTCTGGGGTAAGAGATCAATATTTTATTAAGCTGTCTTCTGGGAAATCTGTAATGGTTTTGAAACACTTTCTCCTCAGACCTTATCACAGAAGCTATTGTATGTATTTCTATGATGCAATATTTTGTTCAAGGGTTCTGGAAGAAACATCTTTTGTGATATGAAATGATTATAGAATCAGTAGGTAAGGAAAGGGCAGGATACAAATGAAATACCTTTTACTCATTAATTGGGGCTTTATTTTACTTGAGTTTATTAACTTGCTAGGCTATAGTTCTACAGTATAAATCTTGAACTGATTATTTGGCCTATCTTAGTCATATTAGTGGAGGAATGACAGGTATGAATGCAAGTGAAAAGAGAGACCACAATTACTGCTCTTTTGCTTTCAAGAAGAAAGGCTTAGTTAAATAGTGAGCACTATTGTGTATTTTTCCAGTTCTTTTGTTAGAGAACTTCTAAATTATTATTTTGCCCTATCACTTTCCTCTAATTTTCCTTCATCCTTTTCTGAAGACAGGTTTGAATATTTAAACAATTTTCTTCTAATAGAAAAATAAGTTCAGTCTTTCACCTCAGCCATGGAGCTCCACTGAAATGACTGTACTTCACATTCATCTCCAATAGGACATCTTATCTTGATGTTAGCAGGACTTGATCCTGGCTTCATGAATTTTTATAGTTGTCTCCATATGAGTTCAACACAGTAATATCTGCAGCATTTTTTAATCCCCCTACAGGAAGGAAAGGGCAGTGTTGCTGGTCTTGCTTCTTCTGGAGGGAGAGACAATAAAGAGAAGAAAGTCTTCATTAGCTTGATTGGTACAAAGGGCATGGGATGCAGGTGGGTATATGTTTCTTATTTAATGTCACTGTTTTGTTATGTAAGACATCCAAGTCAGTTATTTCTGTCCTTCATTGGTATGATATCAGGAAAATGAAAATCCGTGCGGGATCAGGAAGGCAAACTGGAACAGGAGGGTATCTGTGACACACATTATGTATCATTAGACAAAGCATAAATACCTGTGTTACAAGTTCTGACTTAAAACCAAAAAAAGCTTTTAAATTTAAAAATAAGAGCAGGCTGAAAGTGACATAATACAAGTTATCGTGGAATTGTATCTTCTAAATGCTTTTACATTTTAAAATACTTTTAAGTGCTGTTCTGTGATGTTGCAAGTTCCAGCACTGTCCAGTGTCAGGTTCACTCCCTGAACTTAGACTGCTTTGTAGCCCTTTTCAGAACCGAGAAGCCATCACATAGACAGATCTATTTCCTGAAAGTAAAGTTGAATTTGCAAGTTTTTTAGAAATATGAACAGGTGCTTTTCAGGCTTCTGTTCTTGCAGCTAATTATGGAGGATTTGAGGTAGAAGGAATATTGTAGTATTTCTTATATATTTAGGAATATATAGTTGAAGTTATTAGGATTGAACTGCCCAGATTCTTTTCTGAAGCATAAGTGTTTTTTTTCATATTCTTTGGAAGATCTAAAGGTTTAAAGAAATTATTTACAAACCTGGAGAGGTGGTTCAACATCACCTTCTGGATATATTATCTACACAAATCATTTGTGTGTTTAAGCCCAGGTTAGACTGCAGTTTAAAGTTTCCAGGCTATATGTTGGCCCCTGACTGAAACATCCTTCTTGCTTCTAATAAAGAATCCTAAAAAATAACATTGTATTATACATACAGTATACTGCTGTTTAGTGAGCTGATGTGTAATTAGTAATTCTTCATTGTGTTACATGCTTACCTTTGAATGTCATTAGTGTCCCAGTCCATTAGACAGTATAGGTCAGTATACTATATATGTTAGTTTCAACATCTAAGGAAAAATGCAGAAGCTTGAATATTTTTCTTTAATTTTTCTTTAATTTTTTTCTTATATCACAGTATTATTCTATAAATATTGTCCTTTTTTTTTTTTTTTTTTTTTTTTTTTTTTTTTTTTTAAATATATTGCACCAGTATTTCCAGTGGACCAACACAAAAACCGGGCATTTTTATCAGCAATGTTAAGCCAGGTTCACTTTCAGCAGAGGTGGGATTAGAGGTAAGTATGCCACCTTCCAAGGTAGGTACCACAAGGAAATCTTGTTCAGTATTTACTACCTCAAGGATTCTGGGTCACTGTAAAGTCACTAGCTGTGGGGCTTTTTCCATGAGAAAGAAATACCTTGTGGTTACATTTCAAATTAAGCGAGTTTCTTAAATTTTAAGAACACAACAGTGCCCTCCTGGGTCAGACCAACAGTCCATTGAACTCAGGTTACAGTCGATTTTTGGTCTGTTCCCCTTTTAATCTGCCAGCGCCTATATTACAGAATCACAGAATTTTCTAGGGTGGAAAAGACTATGAAGATCATCTAGTCCAACCATCAACCCAACATTAACAGTTCCCAACTACACCAGATCCCTCAGTGCTATGTCACCCCTACTTTTAAACACCTCTAGGGATGAGGATATTATTGTATTAAGAATGTTAGAGAGTATATTTCTTTCTGGTTTTAATATATGTACTGATTTAGCATCTGTACTAAAATTTAGATTAACTCCTTTAGGTCGGTGATCAGATTGTTGAAGTAAATGGAGTGGACTTCTCTAATGTGGATCATAAAGAGGTAAGATCAAGCCTTCCTAACTCCTTGAATTCATAGTTATCAGCTTATTAAGCATCTCTCTGATTTTCCTGGCTGCAAAAGTATGTTTTTATACTGGGCTACTTAACCAAAGAGGTTGTTTATTGAACATGGGAATTTGGACATCCAAATACCTACCACGCTGTTTAGTTCGGGTAGGCCTGGAAATTCCAGCCTTGACAAGCAGCATCTTTTATCATATTTATACAGATCTTTGTCACTTAATTCAGACTAATTTTTTGTTTTGTTTTAATTTGCAGGCTGTCAGAGTGCTCAAAAGTAGTCGTACTTTGACGATCTCTGTGGTAGCAGGCGCTGTAAGTAGTATATAAAGGCATAATATTTGTGAAAGTTACTGTGTGGGCAAAGAAATGGTAAAAATAAATAGATAAGAAGTAAACCTGTGTTTTCTTACAATGTCTATACTACTAAATTCTGTCAAACTAGGGCAATGTTAAGTGGCTTTTGATTATTTTCTTGATAGTTATCTACAGTATTCTCAAATGAAACAGTTTCATGACTGTGGAACAGTGTAAAGCTATTCCCTTGACAAGGAATGGAAATTAACTCCATTGTAATGGTTTCTCACATTTGAGAGCTTTCTATTCTCATAGATAGCTGCTTCTGCTGAAACATGAAAGATAAATTGGATTGGAATCAATTAATTTTTCATCCTGAATAGCTGATGTCTTAGTCTTATTCCAAATGAGTTCCTTGTGTAACTGTTTTTCTGATCCCTTTCGTGTGTCAACACACTGAAAATTGTTCAATTTTCTATTTCCACTGTTTTGTACGACAGAACTATACGCCTTTGGGGCCTAATCTAAAGCCAGCTGAAATTAATTAAATCTTCCCACTGACTTCAGTGTGGCTTTCCATAAATAATGTTTTTACTGCTTTAATCCTTCTTATGGTAAAATGTATAGTTATATACAAGAGGATACTCAAGTTCCATAGAGTAATCAAAGATGGTATTTTATAATTACCTTGCAACTGAATTAAGTGGGGAAAACAAGATTTAATAATCATTTAAGCAACTTCCTAAGGGCTCATGCATACCATGTAGCTATATTAAGGAATTTGTGTTTTAATTAACTCTGACAGTAACAAAAGATCCAGTTGTCCAAAGGCGTTGTAGACACTGTTTAAACAAATGCGTCAGACTAGCTGATTAAGGTCCAGGAACACAACATTCTAAGGACTTAGTTTCAACTCCCAGATATGTTACCACCTGTTAGAAAAGATGGGATCTACTCCAGCATGTACTACTGCAGTTGCATCCTTAAAATGGTGAATTGTTGCTATGGCATTCTCCTGATGTGAAATAAGGAGATGATGTTTGTTTTCCTCACATCACTTTTGTGATGGCAGATGTGCTAGTACGTAATTGGTTTTGAATTATTTCCGAGAACAACTACATTCATGAGACTTTTTCACAGTGGATCTGGGTGGCGTTCTGATTGCAGGGAAAGGAGCTGTTCATGACTGAAGAAGAAAGGCAGAGAGAAGCGCGTCTCCGTGAGCAAGAACGCCAGGAGTTAATGCATCAGAAGCGACTTGCACTGGAGACTAACAAAATCATCAAAGAGCAGCAAGAGAAAGAGAGATTGTAAGGACTCTCTATAGCACAGTGAAAAATTTAGCTTGGATTTGGACAGGGCGTAGAGGGCAGGAGCAACTGGGAGAAGATTCCCAAATTAGATAAACTTAATTTTGCTGTTGCAAAATCTCTCTTCCTAAATCCTTATCCTATGCTGCTCTTGAGGTTCTGGGTTTTCAAAGCTGCTACCATTCAAATACATTTTGAGTAAAAGCGTTGTTTTGTTCCCCAACTGTACCCCTATGATTCAGTGTGATATTAGATTCCTGATGCCATTCCTTCATCCTTTATTTTCAGTGGGACAGTTACAAATTTTATACTCTTGCAATAATACACCATGGGACAGTCTCAGAAGGACATAGTGACTTACAGAGTTAAATAGATGATATGCCCTTATTATCCAGATGGTCAGAAATGTCCTCAGGGTTCCTACAAAAAGTATATTGAACCCTTGATATCTTAGAGATGACTCTTAAAAAGAAGCATTTTTCCCCAATACATATGTCTTTACTGTCTATATCCTTTACTAGCTGTATGCTGACACACTTTGTGCAAGTTCTTACTCAGAAAATACTATTTTTGTCATGGTGTCCTAATTCCTCTTATTATAGAAGAAAACTGGAGATTTCCCAGAAGGCTGCAGAGGAGGAAGAGCGATATCGCAGAGAAATAGAGCAGTAAGTAAAAACCTCACATAGGCAATATGCTGCCTGAAGAAGTGTTCTTAGATCTGACTGTAAACATTCTGCATATTCTTTTCTAACGAAATTGTGTACTATTTCCATAAATGTAGGGTCCAATGCATATGAGTAAGTACACCACCGTTACAGAATAGGAAACCCATGTGGAAATCAACACCTGGAAAACATAAGGATTATGGTGATAATAAATTCAATTTGAAATTGAAATTGAGTGCTTATTTTAAAAATGTAATAAATGTATAGAGAAATTTAAGATTAAGGAAGTTCTGTGTCTCAGAATTTGTTTGTTCTCACTGAACCACTACATTTAATTCTAACAGAAGAAAAAATAAATTAATACTGCAAGGAAATGGATCAGGGAAGAAACAGAGAATAATCATGAAAGAGCTGGAAAATATGCCTATACTCAGGGAATTAGCTTATATTTTAAAAAAAAACCCAAACAAAACAGAGGTAGTTTGTTCATGGTCTGTAAGAGTGTACACAGCATGGAATTTCATAGCCTTTTCAGTCTATCAGAAAGTTCCAAAAGCAAAAGCTGTGTAGATTTAGACTAAAATAAGAACTATGGGATGCTAATTGTTTTGAGTAGAAATTTTTGTCATCATAAATTTTAAGTAGGCTTTCTCTTACCTAAGGAGAGAATCAATTAAATTCAAAATGTTACACCAAGAGGATGAAATTCTATAACCTATTTTATTCAGGAAATCTGATTTTTATTAAAACAGTCTATTCTGTTTTTTAAAAATCTGTGATTCTAGGCACTAGACATGTTTACAGACTCTATCATAATGAAGTCAGTACTATAAACGTAATTTAAGCGTTGTTTTATATTTGGAACTTTGACCAGTATAACATGTTGTTATCACAGTAATTAATTTGCTTTCTAAATGACAGTGGGAAACTGCATGAAAGATAGTGTGAAATTGCACAGTATCTGCTTTGATGCAGCCTTTTGGGGCTAAGATTGACCCTGAAGTATTCAGCTTTGCACCTTTTACATCTTAAACAGTTTTTAATTCATATTCACTTGAGTCCCTTTCACGTACCTGTATTAGCTAGAATTCTCTGATAGCAAAAGTGCAGGGATTTCTGAATCTGTGAGGTGCGAAAAGGAATATATTCCCCCAGCTGTCACAAGAGAAGACTATTCTGACAGTCCTGCTGTCGGCTCTACTGCAGCATGTGGATGAATTCTTGCACGTTTTCCTTTTCTAATTCCTGGGGAATAGATAACACATCCTGTTTTTTATTGTGGTCTGCTATAGAAATTCCTGTAATAGCCATGGAAAGCTGCTGTAAAAGCAGACCATCACAGGTGAAGAATGCTTCCATTCTCCAAATCCAGATTGCCTTTCTGTTATAATGAATGCTCGATATCTGCAGTATCCCTCTGAACTAAGTGCATCTTTACTCACTCAGGGAGGACTATCATGATGAGGTTGCCCTGAGGAATGCTCATTGTAAGGTCTAGCATGTCTTTATACTTCCCTGTATAATTTCCAAGTGCTGCTCAGGCACTTCTTAAGCTTTTTCATGTTACAATCCAAACTCTTAAATCAGTGTTAATCTCCTTGGTGTAGAGGAAGGAGGATGGTAGTATAGGAACATAGATTTAAAGTTTAGGTTTAATAAGCATTTGCAGGCAGGCAATTTCACTAAAACACAATGCTTTCCTTTATTAACAGTTTGTGAGGATGATACTTTGCTCCATTTTTTAAATCCATTCTGCAGGAATTCCTGGTATAAAGTCACTGTGCCCTTTATTAGTATCCTGCAAAAAATTTCAAATGTACCTAAATGGCAGAGGTCCTTAACTCTGTGTACTTCAAGTTACATTGTAACCCCATATTTTTTTAAATTGAAATGTAAACAGCAAATATAAACATTCTGTCCAATGTTCCCTTCTATTAACTATGCGTCCAAATTTAAATCCTGACCTCAGCTGCGGGTTTAATAGTGCTTTGACCATGTGGATATTTCTTAAATTTACCTTAGCTACTTTAGAGATGCAAAAGGTAATACAAGTAGAAACAGCATAATATATATCTAAGACCTGATAAACTTTGGCACCATATATTAGTTTACCAGTTCAAGAGAGGCTACAGCCAAGAATAGATCTTGGATCACTTAAAGGCACCTTATATGAAGTTACAGACTTAGGTTATATGGCAGTTCTCTTGTGACCTGCTTGAGTTTGCTGAATTTTCCTTCAAAATGTCCTTTTCTTAATCTTGGTGCCTTCTAGGTGCCTTTTAGATAATTTACTTGTTTTATGATCTCCTTTGTTCCAAAGTGACTTTTTTTTTTTTTTTTTCCCCTAGGATGCTGAATATAATGTAGTTTATGTCTCAACAGTATTTAGTTCTTTCTGTGAAGAGTCACTGTTTAGTGTAGCTTAGAAGTATGTGTTTAGGAAGCAGTTATCAAAATGGAGATGTGATACAGAAAGATGACATACAGTTTTTAGGTATAATTTACCATTGTAACATCTGATTTAGGCATGTGGTAGATGTTCTGTCACTTAGTATTTTAGTTAAAACTGACTGTTTTTCTAATAGATTCTTCCCCATTCTAAAAAATAAAAAATTGTTAGGTGAGAGATGGTTTTTGGATTCAGTTAAGGTGACAGTATTATAGTGCATCACTTGGGGCTTAATATCTGTGCAGGTGTTTGTATAACTGGCCTTAGAAGTCTCAAATAAGAACATTTCAGTCACATTGTATTTTGCACATTATCTTAGTAGCTTAGTAAATGAAACTTAGATTGTTGAAAGGAATTTCGTTTGGGGGAAGGTGAGTTTATTTTGCTTTATATTAAAGAGAAAAAAACAAACATGAATTTATATTGATGCTGTTGTTTTTATACTCAGAATTCCTAGCTGCACTTTTTCCCTATAGGATAACAGCAGAAGAAGAGAAATTTAAAAAGGAGTGGGAAGAAGACTGGGGTCCTAAAGAACCTCCCAAATCACTAAAAACTGTAACAGCAGAAGTGCATTCTGCCCCTCGTTCCAAACACAAAAGTAAGTAATTGATGCTAATCTGCTTCCTAGGGAAAGTATTTGTTTGACATCACAGAGCTGTATGGCATATGTCCCTAGTTTGTGGCCAAGCCAAGCTAGTTATGACTGTTATTTTCAGAAGGCTGGAAGCATATGATAGATTAATTTAATATCTCTTATTTAACAGGTATCTAGCTCACAAAATCTGCAGCCACTCAAACAGCCATGGTTTTTACAAGCAGCACCAGCGGGGATGACAGTTAAAATAAAGCTCACTAAAACCTCTTTAGCTTGGGGTTTTGGTGCACTGCTTTCCCTGTTGTTTGTGTTCAGTGTTTTGCCTGTCAACCTTTTCACAGAGCAGTTCTTGCATCAGTAGATTAGTGCTAATTTCCAGTGTGTGCACAAATGGAAGTAGTGCTGCATTTTTTATATGATAAATGATTGTTTTATGTCCATGTGGACTGATACTCAAATACTAAGCTATATACATATGAGTGCTTTCATCTCAGTGAATAAAATATTATTTATAATAATAAGTAATAGTTTAGGGGTTTGGGGCATTTTTTTACTGTTACTTTTCAAAATGAAGGTATGAAGAAGGAGAGACAAGTGTTTGGTTTTGTTCTTTCATTTGTAATTATCTTTGAACTAAGAATGTCTTGAAGCTCCCTTGCTTCTCTTCCCTGAGGAGGAGTAAACAGTATATTGAATGTCATCAAAAAATGCAACAGAAATAATTGTTGCAAACCAACAGTGTGACGCTAAACAAAAAAAGAGAAAAATCAAAGATTCTTAAGAATCAGTTACTTTTTTTTAAGTGTTTTTCCTGGATCTTTTGACAGATCTGTTTCTTGCCAGCATGCCTTTCACATTTGCTTTATTCCTTCTCAGGCTAAAGTATTTACCACTTCATTTTTCTGTATATCACTTTCTTCAGCTCATGCTCTTTTGACAATTGTCTTAAAAATGAAATGGTGATGGTATAATGATGTTTACAATTGGTGCAAAAATAATCTTGCATGCTGAACACTTGGGGAGCAAAGCATGTAAGCATGTACTGATTAAACACATACAGTCAGAACTACTGTAGCAGTTCCTAGTGACCTAATCATGAGAAAGCTAGGCACGTTTCTAAGGATTTGCAAAATTCAGGCATCTGTCCATGAGCTGCTATGCAGCTCTGCTAATATGTTAAATAGACCTTTTGTCAGAGTGGAAATTAAATCCTGCTTTTTCAAATGTAGATTACCTGTAGATTTCAAAACACTTATCCCTTAGTTTTGTTTTTTCTGTTCCCCTCTTGCTTTAATTTTCCGTACTCAATCTGTGTCTTTTTCCTCCCGTCTTCCTTTTTCCTGTCTTTTTGCTGCAATGGATGGAAAGAGGAAATCTTTCACAAACAGGCTGTAGTCTGCACAGACTGAAAATTGATTTGATATCACTGGGCAGGCTGCTTCAGAATTAGTCAAGAGAGGAGGAGGTACTGTTTGTACACTGCAACTTTTCCATGAAGAATTGCCCTGAAGTGTAAGTCTGATTTAGTTGTCCAAAGGAATTTAAGGCACTTGGAGCTTAATTGGCAGTTAAGAAGCTAAATTGGAAGCTACAGATAGTATGTGGAGAGTGTACTAAAATGGTATTAGACAAAGGCAGAAGTGGAAAGTGCTTATTGCATAACTTAATGAGACCTGGGTTGGTTCATAACCTGATTATGTTATTTTTTTGGTGACTTTGGGGAAGTCACTTAACTTTTCATGGATGAGAAACTGAGATGGAGAAATGTTTCTTTTGCAACCATCTTTTATCCGTTTATTTTCTGATTCTTCAGGACAATGTTTTCTCTGTCTAGCATTTACCTCAGTGACAGCACAGTAGAAGGCTGGTATTTCTTTTTGAAGCCAGATATCCCAGAACTGCTGATGGTTTAATTACAGGAAAAGCCACCTACCTCTGCAGGCTTCCCTTCATAGCAGAACAGACTAATTGGCCATGTGCAGATCTGAACTGCTCTTCAGAGTTGGAGGACACTGGAAATTGATTTGATTTAAGCAGGACCTCATTCTTTTTCAATTATGTAAAAAAAATATCCCATTGCTAACTTCTTTTTGTTTCATGGAAACTTCTAGTCACACATTGCTGATCTCTTTTTCATTTCATGGGAACCTCCAGTTAGACTGTCATTTCTATCTCCTCACTCCTTTCCTCTGTTTCTCTAGTAGATTTAGAGGGAGTTGCACATGACCAACTTGAAACAGATGACATGGATGAAGTGATCATGAAACAGGACAAACAGGTTTGCTGCTCAGCATTAACTTCCTATCCTGATTCAGATTCTTCCTGTGTTTCACTTCCTCCTGACAGTCAGTCTTAACACCGAGCTGATCATTTGGTTTTGCTAGGGCAATATGTGTGGTCCTTTAGTAAATGGTGGAAGATTAGGATGCTGTTGCTGTTATTGCTTTCTAAAGATACCTTGACACAAACACAAAATCTATCAATCCTACTGAAAGATGGATTATATTGAGAGCTCTGTGTGTTATCAGTGTTTCTTCTATAAAATTATGGTAATGGATTCTTTTGTATGTTTTTGCTTAGCAATGTTATTTTAAATATTTATGCACTTGGCCTAGGAAATGGTGCTTTTCTTGTCTCCTCAAATGCCATGGTGTTCTGCCACAAGCCTGAATGAGTTTGAAAGCCTGTTTCATTTTAAGAAGGCTTGTTAAAACTAGTGTAAAGTAGGACCATGACCATAGCAATCTTAGCAATGCATATGGGTGTATGTTTCTGTATGAAGGTTACCTGTTGCATTTACTTTGTTTAACATAAAATGTGTACTGGTAAAGTAAGGATAACATGACTAAATGTACTAGCACAATTGATCAAGAAATCATCTAAGAACTTGTCATGTAATAATGAAACTTTCATGTGGCGTCTTCAAATAAATTTTAATCAGTTACATGTATCAGTATGGATTAATCTGAATCTGAACCAGTCCTTGACTTTTCTTCAAAAAACAGCTTTTCCTTTACCTTTTGTAGCTTTTGGATGGTTTTATCGGTATGAAGGAAAATTTCCCACAATCCGCAAGGTACAAAGTTTGATATGTAAATCTGTTTGCTGTGCATTTGAATTATAATTCCTCTTTTTTTATTCTTCTTCTCTGTTATTACTAGAGATTCTTTTTAGTCAAATGCTTCTTTTAACGTGTGCACAAATGCAAATGTGTTTGGGATGCATCTACCTAGGAGTTTGTTCTTTTGAATACTTTGGACTTTTCAAGTTCTGCCAGCTGCAGTGGGAATTGTATGTTAATACTTTGCAGAAGGTGTTATGTACAGGTGGGCAGTGTATGTTCTCCAAAAGTCCTCAGAATAATGTATTAAAGTACAGACTCAAAAATCCAGTGGGAACCAAGTATGCAGTTCCCAGTTACACTTTGCATATCTCCCAGTAAGAAGAGTGCTGAAAGCAAAAAGGTTTAGGCATGTACATTATACAGAATGAACAACAAAAAAATGAAAACCTTTAATTTGATACAATACTTTCACATCTGTAGAACTGCTGCTAAAGTATTGCAATTTCAAATTGTTAGGGTTTCTAATAATACTCTATTCCTGCTGTTGCTTTATTCTGTTTATTTCTTTCAGTGTATATTAGCCATATTATAAGGGGTTTGTGGTTGTGTTGTGGTGGTGTTTGGCTTTTTTTGTGATGGCTGATGGTAATTAACTGGGGTAGAAGTGTCAAGAAGGGTTCATATGTCTATCTTCTGAGAACTTGGCGTTTCTGAGGAGGTCAGGATTGTGTCTGGCAGAAGTATTTGTGTCACTGTTTAGGACTGTTTAACCTTCTGTGTGGACAGAAAATGCCTGTTCTCCTTATTAGAGACTAGGAAGTGATGGTGCACTCTGATAACATTTTGTACTGCTAGCGGCTGTAAATCATCATGGAATGTGTGAAAGCCAGTACAGTTAGGAATTCTATCTGAAAAATATAAATACATGTTATGAAAACTAAGTGCCCTCACATGTAGGTGATCTTTTGTATTCCTGCTGACAAAGATTGCAGAGCATCCAAATATTTTTCATATAGTAATGAAGATCATACCCAGTTCCTGTTGAACTTTACTACACAGTCTGAACTAGAGGCTTGAAAAGATGTATTTTTAATCTTTTACTTTTAGAAATATTTCAAAATCTCGAAGTGATTAATTTCATCCTACTACAAATTGCTAATTGATATGTTTTGTTTTCTTTTAAAACCAGACTTTTACTTTGTACTCTATGTCTATAAATATATGTCTATAAATGCAAATAAACTGAATCTGTAATGTGTGGAAAGGACGGCTCTTACTGTCGTACCTGAATGCAGTGAACACAGCTAACATTGTCTGATATATGTTCAGGTTCTGGAACACTTTGGCCTGTGTACTGCTTGGTGTACTGCCTTTAAATTCAGTAATTTTTCAAGTGTTGATACCTAGCAGGTTGACCTGTCAGATGTTTACCTTTAGTAGATGGTACTAAATATATCTTGTAATTATTAGAGGATAATATTAGCAATTGTTGTTAAGGTACAAACTAATTAGCCCTGAATGCCAACAGAATTATATTTATGCTAAAACATTAGTATGAAACGCTAGATTTTACTTTAAACTTTTAAAAAATTGTGTCTCCAACAATTATTAATTTCTTTACTTTTTTTTTCCAACAACATCACTTAACCATGAAGCAATAGACAACATCCCACTAAGCTTAGCAGTACAAAGTTCCAATAGCTACTTGAGTGTGGGAATTGACATTTTAGCTGCCAGGGAAAATGTCTGTTTTCCAAGGCTTTATTATCATTACATGTAAAAGGTGGAAGGAAGACAAATCATGCTATTTAAGGTGAAGCATGTTCATGATTTGAATCCCCAAAACCACAATGAAAAGTTGGTAGTTGATGACAATTAGCAGAGCGAAATCAAACCCAAGCATAGCCTCTCTGGTCACTGGCAGTAGTTGACAGTAAGTGGCCAGCTGCTACTCCTTTTTACTTTTTCATAAATAAAAGGAGAACATGGGCTTTCCAGATGTCATGGTTTAACCCCATCTGGCAGCTGAGCACCACACAGCTTCTTGCTTGCTCCTCCCCACCTGGCCCTGGTGGGATGGGGAGGAGAATTCGAAAAAAAAAACCAAACACCTCGTGAGTATAGATAAGAACAGTTTAATAATAGAAATAAATATAGTTATAATAACAACAATAATAATAATTGTAAAGAAAAGGAAGATAAAAAAAGAAATAAGAGCCAAGAAAAGACAATTGATGCCCAATGCAGTTGCTCACCGCCCGCTGACCAACGCCCGAGCAGCAGTCTGCCCCCCAGCCAACTCCCCCCCAGTTTCGATAGTGAGCATGACGTCCTGTGGTATGGAATAGCCCTCTGGCTGGTTGGGGTCAGCTGTCCTGGCCATGGTGTCTCCCAGCTTCTTGTGCACCTGATCACTGGCAGAGCATGGGAAACCTAAAAATCCTTGGCTTAGGATAAGCATGACTTGGCAACAACTAAAGCACCAGTGTGTTATCAACACTGAATCCAAAACACAGCACTGTACCAGGTACTAGGAAGAAAATGAACTCTGTCCCAGCCAAAACCAGGACACCAATATGAACTAAGCCCTAGCAGTACAAACAGGAGAGGATAGGAGAAATATGCCATCATTAAAGCAGAAATAAGGAGCAAGGTATATTTGAAGACAACAGGAAGAAAGGATCCAAAACCACTATGTAGTTTTTCCCTTTGGTTGCACTCTACGTGTAAAATTTTAGTTGCTTTGTGCTGTATTAGTTCACGTGAGTAGATTTTATCAAGTGCCTGTAAGAGCTGCGTGGTCTTTGTGATGCAGTGGTCTTTCCTAGGAGCAATTCAGTTTGTGCACCAATCTAACCCTTTCATTTACAATTGCTTATTTCTGTTGTATTAAGGCATGCAATGCTCATTTTAGGACACATGCATGAAGATGATTTATGCATAGAATATTCACATCTACCTATACATGAGCATCTGTCACCTAAAAGCAGTCTATATATATCCACATATATACATATTCTGGCATATATATAAAAATGCCAGAATTGAGAGATGGCACATCAAGACCTAACGAAAACTGTTTTGTAGTGGGCCTGTGTGCCCTAATGTCGTAACTTTACATAGAAACAAAACAGTTGAACTGTCTGACCTCGTCCAATTTACGTTAATGTTCGCAGACCCTCCAGATAAGGTTGAATTTCCTGCAAATTGCTGGGGAAATGGACTTTAGATTTTTCTTTTGAAAAACCATCCCCATACTTGCACAGACTGTAATTAAATTTTCAAGGCAGGCACTCATGTACAGAACTTGAAGTTTGCAGTGTTTTTAGCTGATGTAAAAATCTGTTTAACTAAAAACAAAAAATCGAAAAACAAACCCACCAAAACTTCCCAGAAAGGAAAAGAAAGAAAGAAGTCAAAAAGTGACAGTTTTTGCGAACAGAAGAAGAATAAAAAGGAAATGGAGTTTGAGCAAAAACTTGCCAAAGAGAAAGAAGGAATGTTGGAGAAAGAAAAGCAGCTGAAAATAAATCGTCTCGTGCAAGAGGTATGTTGTGTTCTATCAAGTGCCAAATGATACTGAAATAAAATGAGCTGAATCTTTAGTGACATTATCTCAGCAGGACACTTGTTTAATAATGTCAAGGATAATGAAGTTTTTAAAAAAATGCTGTTTCACTGCAAAACTCTGTTTGCTTGTTTCTACAGTCAGTTTTTATCCTAAATAAGGATACCTCTGCAGTTAGTGAGTGTCCATGTGTAGCGATGAATTTAATGAAAGACATCAAAATAGGAAATAATTTGCAAAAGCATTATTAATTTTTAAACTAATTTAAATGGTGTTTCATACTTTGAAACCTATTGGTATTGTAACTATACCTATAACATTTTTTCATGCGCTGATGTTATGGTTAAGGTATCTGAGACAGAACGAGAAGACCTGGAAGAATCAGAAAAGGTGCAGCACTGGGTGGAAAGACTTTGTCAGACACGGTTAGAACAGATTTCCTCTGTGGAGAATGAATCGCCTGAGGTAAAATTCTGGATTCTCCATATATTTCATGATCTCTAAATAACTCACTAGTGTCCTAAAAGCAGCAAGCTTTTACCAGAGAAAATTCTGTCTTGATCATCCCCCCTCAGTCTTCTTTCTAGGAGAGGAAAAGCATGTCTGGAATTAATGAATTACAATCTAGAGCATGTTATGTTCCTATATTTTATGGAGATTTAAAAAAATTATTTTAATGAACTAAATGTATTTTATCCTTTTAACATATACTATCACCACAAAACTAACAGTTATATTGGCTCGTGAGCTTTTTGGGCTAGGTGGAACAGACTAATAATAATAAAACTGAGACTAGAATACCAAGCCGTATTTTTTAGAATCTGATGAAAATAAGAACATCGCTGATGATGAGCTCTCGCATACTTCCTTGTATTGCATGGAAAAAAAGATTAAGATTACAAGAAGATAAGAATCTTCCAAAGAATAGCTTTTGAGTTTGTGTTTTAAATAGTCCCTTTAAATGAAGGGAGTTGCAGATAGTGATTGTGCCTTGGAGCCTGATGGTTCTAGATGTGAAGTGAGGTTTTCCCACCATCCTGCTGCCCTGGCTGCCTTCCAAGCACAGCTGCTTTCAAGAGGAACACTGCAATCTGCTTAACTCCCCCAGGATCCCCAAGAAATTGCAACCGCAAAGGGGACCCTTGGGGAACACTCTTGCATGAATTTCCTTCAGGTCAATGTGGAGCAGCTCTGAAAAAAGCAGCTGGTCTTCTGTTCTTCCTGGCCTCAGGCTCAGATCCATGTGGCTCTTCAATGCAGGTCTCTAGGACAGTTTGTCTCACTACCTAAATTTGGCTGCCTGTGTTCTGCTAGATCTTTGTCCCCCTTCCTTTGTAAAGTAAGAGGGCACATTACAGATTAAAACTACTGTTGTATTTCCAGAGCTTTACCCTGATTTAAGACAAGCACTCTGTATTTTATTTGCTGCATGAATTATATTATATATAAATATTGCATTACAATTCTTCTACAGAAGTACCTAAGCAGTTAAACTCATGTAAAACACAAACGCAGAATTCTTTTGAGGGTTAAATGTGGCTGAACAATATTCAGGTATTACAGGCTTAACTGCTACTTGCAGTCAAGTTCTCTTTACTTCTGCCAAAGAAATACCTGGGTTTTAGTACCAAGGGGTGAGTATGACAGATAAGGAGATCCCAAAGGATGTCAGCAGAGATACCAACCTGAGGGAAATATTGTCATATTAGGCTCATGTGTATGTAGAACAGCTCATCTCTAATATTTCCTCAGTTGAGTCTACAAAATAGCAAAATGAAAGAATATCAACTGGTTTTTCTTACATACTCCAGTTTGATCACTGATAAAAGAAGTGTCATCAACTCTAACAGCATATGTAGAATCCTCATTCACACATAACCTTATTTTTTGGGTGAGCTGCTCATTACGTTCAAACTCTGGAGTCAAGTAACAGAAATTAGAAGGTCCAGAACCTCCTGAGGATTCATAGCATCCTAAACTTTCTGTTTTGAATAGCTGCTTAAGCTCACTTCCCTCTCTTGTATTAATGTCTGGTTATGTTTACACCAGACTTTAGACCCTTTCCGTTTTTTAATAGCATGGAATTTCAGGGCCTGTCTTCATTTACTTCCCTTTTATATAATCATCTTTTCAAGGAGCAATTCTTGCTTTCTCTTCATAAGAGCTAGAGAGGCAAGAGTTGTGTTGTCTGTGATTTGTCCTATGATTTTTCCTTCTGAAGACCTTCTGCAGTTGGGTTTTTTAGGGTGGTTTTTTGTGTCACTCCTCCACTCCAACAGCCAAGGCTACTGTCACAGCACTCCAATTTTCTTCATTTTAAAAAGGAATCCCAAGAAGTGCTTTAAAAAAGGCTTTCAGAGGAAAACTTTATGTATATTCTGTGTGGGAGAAGCCAAGAGATTCTTGTGCAGGAGCAGTTAGGCTGAGTGATGTTCTAGGATTTGCCATTAATTTCTTCAGATCTGTGGCAGGCAGAGGAACTGTTAAGGCAGATTTCTGTTCTGTTGAATGTAGTTGGCAAGTGGACGTCCTTCTGCTTCTCCTTCTGCCACATCAATGCGGCGTTTTGCCGGTGGCCTGCAGCTTCACACCACAGATCTTGATGATATAAACTTAGATGAAGTTGACAAGCCTAAACAACGTGTGGCACCACCTCCGCCACCACCACCCACCGTTACTCCAGCATCATCAACTCATCTACTTCCTACACCAAATGTTCCACTTCCAAGAGGTCCAGCCCTGGCAGTAACACCAGCTTCCCAGGTGACCTCATGATTTGTTTGGTTGCATGTGCCTTTACCATTCCCCTGCTTGGCCTCCCACCCCTGCTCTATCACCCACTTTATTCACTGGATCTACCCATCTGCCACATGCAATGTTAAAAGAGGCAGTGAGATCGTTTCATTGTTTTATAGTAGTGAATGCAGTCTAGAGGTAGTTATATTTTTTTTAATTTTAAGAATTTAAATCAAGAAGGTTTTTACTCTCTCCTCCCTACATATGTTGCAACCCTACCACATGCAGGTATCATGTATCAGTTAAAAAGACAATTTGGACTTGAGTGTTTAAAGATTAAAAAAAAAAAAAGCAATGACAGGCATCAGATTTAACTCATCATTAAATTTGAGCAAAATATCTGTGGTGAAAATTACTTCTGAAAGTGTCTTAAATATGTCATCAAATTGCTTTGTTAGGTGAGAAGAGCGAACAAAGAAAGTTAGCTTAAAATCAAAAGCTCAAGCTTTTAAAACATCAAAACTGTATAAATTACCAGTAAAATACTTTTAAATGAACAAGAGCTGGTAATCAGTTTTGACTTTTTTACACACACAGGAGTTAGATTTCTTTGAGAAAACATTCTGATGTCCTACTTATTACAATCTCAGTCCAAACGAGGATCAAATATAAGAAATCTTGTGCCAGATCTCACTTTAGAAGAGAACTGGCAACTATTTCATCATGATTCTCTTTTCTAAGCACTGTAGTGAGATTCATGTACTCATTCTTGTGGCAAAAGAATCTTAATTGTTTTAAACAGCAGAAGAGGATCCCATACAGTCACTTTTTTTCCCCGCCCACAGTTTTCTGCATGGATTGGCTGAATGCTTTGTTGGTTTTCATGGGGTTTGTGCATGTTTACTTGGAAATACTACGTTTTGCATTTGCATGATTCTAGTTGGGGTGGGGAAGGATATGCAAATTAATCAGTTCTCAGGGGAAACTGGCAGATGATTTCTATATGAATAATTGCCCAAATGTGAACTATTAATCTCTTCTTGTACACTTAAGTAGAACTCTGATAGTGCTCGATCTATGTGGTTTATATGTTTGAAGTGCCAAGAATTATGCTAAATCCAGTGAAATTGAGATACCAGATATTCTTATGGATCACACCTTTCCCAAGCTATTTGCAAAATAAAAATTATGTGAAATGATGCAGATGTAAAAAATACTAGCATTCAGAGGAGAAATACATTCTCCCAATGACAATAAAAAAATATTCAGATAAAATAATCAATATAGGAACTGCCATACAGGATCTAATACCAAACCCATATATTCCAATATATGTTTCTGGCAGTTTTTCACTGCTAGAGAAAAGAGGTTAATGATTAAGGAAAAAAATATATTGGTTAACAACAGAAAAATAACCTACCCTTCAAAAACGCTGGCCGTTTTCACTGAATACAAGCAGTGTATACGAGGAGACAGCTCAGCTTTTTGGAAAGTATTAATACTGAGCCAAAGCTGCTTTGTTTATAAGTAGATAACTCAGTATTCCTGATGTGGTTTCAGAAATGGAAGAAAAATAAGAAGCTGGACAACTTACCTTTTTTTTTTTTTTTAAAAACATTTATTTGACTTTAGCAAGTCAACATCTTGTCTTTATGCCTGCTAAAGCTAAAAATAGAAACTTGTTGTCCCATAAGGTTACTTTTCTAATATTATTTAAACCGGTAAATCTTTATGTTGCTGATTTTTATTTTTTTTTTTGGCCCCAGATTGCTTAATTTCAAATTCGGCTCAAACAAATACCTGCAAAAGGAATGAAATCCTGTCAAGTACATTCTTGACAACTTATTAAAATATCTGGTATAAATTGATCTGTTTCTCAAAAGTATTATTAGCTATATGCTTTGCATGAACCTAGAGCTATACTAAGTCTGTTACTGTTTAGGTTGTAAGAAACACCTCCCATGTCGGCAAAGTATCTTCTGTGTCAAGCAATCCGCTGGTATGTCATGTACTGTTAATAATGACTGTAGTTTTATGAACTTCCTATGTAATACTAATATCAAAGGTTTGACTCTGCATGGCTAATTTATTTAAAACTCAGCACTTGCATCCATGTGGATCCGTTGCTGTGTTACAAGATACCCGATACCAAGTAGTGGAAGTGACTCCTAATGGTCTGAGGACCTAATATTTCAACACTTCAGTAACATACAGTCCACATTTGCCTGTTCTGTATGTCTTAGAGAATATACTTTGTGAAGACAGACAAAAGGAGCTAGGACCAAACTATATTTTCAACATAATGGGTATTAAGCAAGCTTTCTTCTCAGAAGAACCAACATTTGTTTGACAGCTCCTTACACTGATTTGTTTCAGGATGGCTGGATGTCAGGTTTCCCCATTCTGAGGCACTCTAGAATCTAAATTGTGCAAATCCAGGAGAAATCATCCAGAATCCAGTCCAACTTTAACAAGTTAGTATCTGTGAACCTGCTGATTCTTCTAAGATCAGAAAGCCTGATGATACATTTTGTAGTGTGGAACAACATTAGTTGAGGGATATCCACAGGGACTTTCAAAGATCTGGTTCCAAAACTCTTATCTTAAATTATTTTTAAAATGGAAAAAAAACCCCAAACAACCGTACAAACAAAAGAACACCCCCAAAATTCCCTTATTACAAAAACCAAAAAAACTGGCTTAACCAATTTGCTGGAAGAGATTCAAATCGTTTTGGAGGATACAGCTTGTACTATATGAATGATGTCTGGAATACATCACATTTCCTATGAGAAACATTGACAAGAGTGTGCTGAGAGTTGCTGGGGTTAAGTCAGAAACTAAACCCACAGGGCTCCGTTTTGAACTCTTTTCTTGAATAAAACTATTCTTGACGTCAGTGGGAGTTTTGACTGAGTAAGAAGTGTACAACCGGGTTAGTACGTGCTGGATGGTTAGGTCTCAGATGCCTCTGGGTATCTGTACTTTGTAGAGTCAAGGGTGAGTAATTAGTGTAACCCTTGCTCTTAAGTCAAGATAAGTTAGCTTGAAATTCTTTATGGAAAGCTGATTGCTGCAGTCCTGGTGAATTTCATCTTAAAAGATCTATTTAGCTGTAGATAAGTTAAAATCTCATTTCAGGTTCACTATGTTCTTACACTCGACTCTAGCTTTTTTTTTCTTTTTTTTTTTTTTTCCCCTGTAGTTTCTCATTCAGTTCATTGCCTTTATGGGATAAATGCCAAAAGCAGGGATGAGATTTTTCCATAATCTTGCTGGTGAAGTCAGAGTTTAGGGGGAAAAGCTACTATTTGGATGCAAGAGAAATTATGTTTTGGTTTGCTGACTTTTTAAGTCTTTGTTAAAATATTTTTGTAGCCTTTTGTTGTATTAGTGTTATTAAATTCATTACCATAAACTATTTGCATTGAGGCATCTTGGTGAAATGATGGATTTGCACAATTATGTTGTGAATTGTAATTTTCTTAAATTAACTCTATAGCAACTTGCTCCAAGTCCACCTACCCAACGACATCCAGGGGTACCAATAGTCTCTAAACCAGTCATGCTGCATCCTGACCCAAACTTTATGGTCAGGCCAACAATCAAATCAGAGGCCCTGGTAAGCCTTTTAATGTTCCTTTTCTGAGTGCTACAGTACTGTGGGATTTGTTGTTGACTTGTCCTCAGAGAATCAATGCTTGTCTTATTTTCTGCTAACTAAAATGAATGTAGATTTTCAAGTGATCTGTAATGGTAAGTACAAAAGGGTACTTTTCCCTTTTTCCCTCCCCCCATCTAAAAGTAACTTTTAGTGACAATTTTTGTACTGGAGTGCATAGTTCCAATGCAGCCTTAGACTCTGTAGATATTTTTCATTTATTCACATGCTGTTTTTTTTTTTTTAATACTGAATTCATCAGAAATGAAATAGTAAAAAGTGATTACACTGTATTTGTCTTTGTAAATAGTCATGAACATACAATGATGAGGTATAGATCTACATTTCATTTCTAGAGAAAATAATGTGTGTTTTTCTATCTTAGACTCCAGTATACTGGTCATGCAGTGTTACTGCATTGACTCATAATCACATTCTTTTTTGTATTTCTTTTCCATTTCTGTTTCAAATGTAAATGAAGACTAAATATTCTAAGTGAAGGGTAAATATTTTAGGACCAGCTATGTAGCATCTTTGGGAATTGTGGTATATGACAGAAAGTGAGCCAAGGCTTACTGAAAAAAAATATAAATACTGTTCTGACCGGTGATAACTCCTAAGTGACAGCCCTGAAAATTCATCTATCAATTGGTAATATTTATTCTTAAGGGTCATCGTGACTGTTAGAATTAGAATTGTGTGTCTTACATGCATATGTGTGGACAGGTGTGCATACATACATTTATACAAGCAAGGCAATGTATTGCAACATGAGCTTTCTAAGTGATGAAAAAAATATCAAATTTGCATTTCATTTAATTACAAGTTTATGCTATATCTGACAATAAACAATGTGCACAATATTCCTACCTTTCATCAAAGTGCAATGGATTTTTTTGTCTTTTTGTAATTAATAATTTAGATGCTCTTGTTCCTTTATTTTTCCCTGTTACAGTTTGAACAAGTTTAAGTGATACTTAGTAACTAGTTTCCCCACAGACAGTAATCTTGAAACTTCTATATTATAAATGGATTGAAATGATAAATGAAAGCACTTTTTATAAATTGCTCAAGAAAAGGCAGGTACACAAGCTAAAAATAAATTCAGAGCCCTCCAGCATAGATATTTCTTTCAGTTGTATGCACTGGAGCTTTCATTTTGACTGTGTTCAGTAATTCAGCATCTCTAAGCAATATAAAATTCCTTAGGGGAGGAATGAACAAAGTAAAATAATAATCTGCAGTTAATATAATCTAGCTCTTGAAAATAAATAACTGTTGTGCAAGTATAAACTAGTTTGTAAAATTGATAATTGTCTTATGTGTGACCAGACAGTCTTGGTAGAAATTGAACATGTTGCTTGTTTGGTTTGGGGGGTTTTTGTACTGCTTACAATTAGTTTGACAAGTTGGCAATAATAGGCACCTCCATGAGAAAATTTCTTACAATTTGTTATGCATGCATGCACATTTTCCAAATCACAGGTCTGCTGAAATATTTCAGATGTCAATCATCTTCATTCCCAAGCTGCCTTATATTTGTTGGAAGATCAGAATTCAGTGGGAGCAATATTCTGATGGGACTTTGAGAGAAACATCAGTCTATAGATTGGTTTTGCAGTCCTTTTACCCCTTACCTCCATTCATGACAATGCAGCAAAGAGTATTCATCCTCACTGCAGTGAAGTCACAGTAGTGTGTGGAGTAAGTCTTGCATGGATACTGAACTAAAGAGTGAGGCTGCTTCTGTTAGTTAAAAATTAAAAAGGGCACCATATGACAAAACAGACAAGGAGGTACCTGCCTGTCTCCAGAAATGTCTAAAAAATTACAATTTCATTTAATGTGGAAGGAATGTTTGGGAGGGAGCTGTGTCCTTATGTAAGTCCATGGTTCAGGTACAGGACTGGTTCCACTTCTCTTAGCAAAGAGAAGTATCATCAAAGACAAATTACCTTTTGCTACTCTATTTCTTGTCTTGCTAGATTTCACACACCTTATAGAACTCCTGTCTATATGTCTTAATATGACATAGTGCACTTAATTTCTTCTACCTTGTTTTTAACTGAATTTGGCTGTCCTGAGTACCAAACTCTAGAAACTGATCTTCATGGATTTACTTGATTAGAGCATCTAACCAAGTGAGCCTACACTTGAGCAATTCACTGTAAAGAAGATTAAAAGCATGAATGTAAGAATAAAATAAACATGCAAGAATGGGTAAAATGTTCCAGTTACCTGGATGGTAGTTGGAACAGATAGGAACAGTGAAGTGTCTGTTTTGATTTAAATCTTCAGATTAACTGAATTCAGATTAGATTGCCAGGTCTTTTAAGACTTCATGAAAACAAAATTGTTCTTACTTAAAAATAGGAAAATGATGGGTGAGGATTAAACCTTAATTGTGGCCTTGAATGCTGAGGGCTGCCCTAGGTCAAAACTAGTGTGAACTGTTTGTCTCTGCTGTACTAGAGTGAACTGGAATACATTCATGGCAAAGCTAATTAAATTTTGGCTCAGAGAAAATGAGAGGTTTGTTATGATTTAGCAGTGGGGTTTTCAGAGAAGCAAAACTCTGCTCTCCCAACTATCACAAACATCCTGTTGTGTGAGTTAGAAGTCTTTGATGCCTCCCTCACTCCTTTGTCATTGGATGAAGCATTTCTGAGAGGAAGGAGGAGTATTTAAGCTTGCTCTCTTTGCAAGATTTGAAGCCTGATTCTGCAGAACTGCAGTCAAGGGACCCAAGACAGGTGCTTAGATACTGTGTGGTAAGACGTGCAGTGATTGGAGATTTCAATTATCACTAGCCATAGCTATACCAAAATCATCTGTATTGCAAAGGAAATAAATTTTTTTCTAAGTGAATATTTTCTTCGAAGTTGAAGAAATTTGTGGAAAATCTTGCCAGACTTGCCCAAAAGTCCTTCAAGACAAAAACTTATTTTTTTGTATTAATTAAACTCAGACCACAGATCTTTCATTAACTCAGGAATAGATATATTTTTTTCAAGTAGTCTGACTATAGGACACTGGTGGAATCAGTAGTGAAACATATAGTCATTTGTTTTAAAGCAAATTGAGTCTGGAAATGTAAATACCAAAGTTTAGTTTGTAGAAAGTTGTTCTTGTTTCAAAAGACTCAAATACCTTGACTGATTTGATGCAGGGTTTTGAGTGGAGGCTGAAGAAGTGTGAGGAATGTTTTGTATAATTATTTTTTTTTTTAGCCCATTTCAGTTTTGAAAATTTTTATAACATAATAAGAGGTGCTGTATTTTAAGTGATTCCAAACTACCATGTACCATTCTGTTAATGCACAGGAAATGAAAGAAAACCAGAATCAATACGGGATTAAAATCACTGAAGTCCAACACAATAAAATAAAATCCAGCAGTTATTTATCAGTATTATGAAATTACTTGTAGATATCCAAACTGAATCAAGACCACTCAGAATAAGTCAGTTAAATTCAGGAATAATTTTTCCTTAAGTAGAATAAACCTGTAATTGGAATTTAGATATTATCTTCTTTTGGGATGAACCCAAATACACATATCTCTTCTTTCAGCTTATCAACTTCATGAGCAATTTAATAATGGACTTCACCCTTCAGTATAGGAAATCCCTGGTAGAGAGCAAATCTTAAATGTATAACATATATATGTAATGACTTTTCAATATTTTGGAAATTGCTTGTCTAGCATTTTGTCCATGTTTTGGTTGGTTGTTTTTTTTTCAATTACTTTTTCAAAAATCAAGCAGAAGACACCCAGCACTGTTCTGTAGAAAATTAGGTATAAAAGGAGTAATGGAATTTTTATCTAAGAAATCTTGTGGTATGGAAATGTGCATTATTTCTGTAGTTTCTCTAGAATTCTTTCCTCTTTGTATTCAGTACTCTTGCACTGTGTGTATTCTCTCATTTTGAACAGTAGGGAACAAGCACTAACAAATGCAAGTGTGATTCAGTCCCTAAAAGAGCTCAGAATCAGTGAGATTATTTGTAAGTAGGTGATACTTATTTACAGCTAAAAGTTAATATCTGGTTTGGCAATTTTCTTTCTTTTGCAGCCACAAGAGATGTTTAAAAGGATGGTGGTTTACAATTCATCATTTAGATCTAACAAAAAACAAGTAAAATAACTTTTTCCATGTTTTGTGTGGTACTTCTTGTTTTGGTTGATCATAGATTTAAAACTTTCCTTTCTAATCCTCTTGCTCAGTTTCTAAAACAGAGGATGCAAGATAGCCCTAGTGCATGAAAACTGCTAGTATTTGTAAACTTGCAGTGTGTGCGTGTGGCTCCTGCTAGTCTAGACAGATGAAGAATGAGAGGATAGTAAATCCTTCAGGTTGAAGGATCTGTATCTACTTATATGGTTAGTGCAGTCTTTAAGATAGTTGAACACTGATAACTGATCTGACACTGGCAATTTTTATTTTTTTTTTAATATTCCTAAGGTTTCCTTGTTTCTTTGAGTCTCCAATTGCAAGGCTATTATCATAACATAGTTATTGATACAAAATCAGAGGAATTTGAGGTGGAAAGCACTTATTCAAATAGCCTTTCTGTGTTTTGTAGGATTTTTTTTCTGTATTACTACTTTTATTGCTTTCCTCTGTCATAGTGATGAAGTTTTCGCTCTTCCTCTTTGACTGGTGGTTCAATAGATGTTCCCTTGAAGAAGTGTACTTTGTGCCTAACTTCTCTGCTGCTGTTAAATGTGCCAGTTCCTGTGCAAAACACCTTTGTTAGTGCAAGCTAAGTTAGATACATTGCCACCTTATATGAAAATGTTGGCATGTAGTTGTGAGCTTTTAAGTGGTAAACGATTAAAATGAATTATGTTTTTTTTTTTTAATTATTATTTTGATCAGTTTTAATCTAGATCTAGAAGGGAAAACTGGATTTGACCAAGATAAATCAAGCTTTGAGGTTATTCAGTTGCCGTTGAATGTTAAGATGTTCTGTATATATAACAGTTGTGTTCTCAGCCGATGTGTCTTTTGGAAAATTTTATTTTATCTAGTCACAGGTTTCTCTTTCAATTCTTCTTTGTTTGTTTATTTGAGTCAGATCTCAGTTGCTAATGTCTATTGATGCTAGAAACTTCAGGGAGCAGTACCATTGGCTTAGGTACTTCTGTTTTGGTGTTGTTTGGGCTTTTTATTTTCTTTTTTTTAAGTAGTAACTTTATCTTTCATCTAGAAATACAGACAGATAATTGTTTCAGTGCAATCAAACCTTTTGATGTTCCAGATTCTCCATATGTTCAGTCCAGTGAGTGTTAATTTAAGTCAACAAAGGATTAGAATGGTCTTAACTTTTTTTGGCTGAGATGTCCAGAGTAGTGGGAGGGTAGGCTTAGCACTGTGGTTTCCACTTGGTGTTGCTTAGTTCAGTAGTCCCTTCTTGGATATGGAGTGTGCTCTCTGCTCTCTGAATTTGTGATTCCCATTTCTGAGAAAATTTATTACAGTTCAGCAAATGTCTTCATTGTATCATAGCTGCACTTGTACATTATTGGATCCAGATCATATCACTTCTTTGCTTGCAGGTTTTTTATTGTAGGGTTTAGGGTTGGCTTTTTTCCTGTTTAAAAATTATTTTCCCAGGAAAACTTTCTTCAAGGGCACCATCTGTTTTTCATGAGGGTGACCTGGGGCAAAGAGAGTTCAATGACTTCCTTTAGATTACATAATGAATTAGTGACTTGGCTGAGATTGGAGTTCTTTCCTCTAAATTGCTTGCTCCAAGACTATGGATGTCTGTTTCAGCCATGATTCCAAAGGTGAGTACAAATTCAGCTATTAAAACTATTAGTTGTTTAGGTAGCTATCATTGAAAAATGTTTCTCTTGCAGTTTTGGTAAAACTATTCATGATATTAATAAACTTTGTAAATGAATGAATGATTAGGAGTTTTCCCTCGGGATTAAATTCTACACTCACTGAAGTCTGTGATCAAATTCCCATTTATTTAGTTCCTCAAAGTTAGCAGTTAACTAATGTAATGCAACCCATACATTTCTCATGTCCTGTTCCCAAAATATTCTTTTAATGCATATTTCCCTACAACAAAAACCCCACTTGTGGCAGTAAGCAAAAATTCTGCAGTTGTGCCCTGAAGATTTAGTTCTCTGGAGCCTGGGGAGACAAAGTCATGTTTTAATCCTTGCAAACATTTCTTCTGTCTCCGAAGAAACACAGAACAGGGACGTGATTTGCTTAAGTTGGTCTTCTGATCTCAGAGAAATGGTGAAGAGAGGCAGCCTGCAGGAAAGCCAGGGTTCGTGCTGTACGGTTCAGTCTGCCCGTGGGTAATGACACCCAGTCCACACAAAGAGTCATCCACACCACTGACGCATGGTCTGTGCAAGTGTGGTCGGACAGATGGGCAGTGCTGTTGTACATCTGAGGGTCTAATGCAGAGCTGGGTACTAGTGCTCAGTGACGTTGTCAGAGGCAGTGGTGGTAAGGATGAGATCTGACCTCAGAGGATCACTCATAGGCATGTCAAAATGAGGCAACTGAGAGAGTTGATAAAGATGATAACAGGAGGAGGCATTAATATTTTGTGCTGCAACTTTAACAGCCAGCCCTTAGAGATACCAGAGGAACCTGAAGCTGTGCATTTGATTTACAAGTGGAAAAAGGCTTAGCTGTGTCTGAGAGTGGAATAGACTTTGTGATCAGATGGATCCAGTAGAAAAGAGGGCAATAATGAATATATCAGCTTGATCACACGCTGAACTGCTGGTCTGCTTCAGATACTGGCTTGCCTGCTGTGTCAGCAAAGGGTTGTGTTGTTCCTGTATCCCCAGGCTATTGCACCTTGAAGCCACAAGAGTCATACAGCATTTATGTGACTCAGTAGAGATTTCTGTGAAGTCCTGAAGTGCTTACTTTAAAACGCATTATAAGTGAAGTGTTTTTATAAATATCCAGCATTGCCCGTACAGTCTCACCCAGTAACTAGAAATCTTCCTCAAGAAACAACCACCAAACGCCATTGATTTCTGATTGTTGACTCAGGAACTCTCATCTTCGCAGAAAAGTTAACTTTTGCTTTTGACCCACAGTGTTGGTCTGACAAGGGTAATGCACTAGGTTTTGAAAGTTTAGGAAGGTATGCGTCCTCTCAAACCTTAAATCTTGCTCTACCTAACTGCAATATTATCTTCCCCATTTCAGACAATCCCTGCCAAAACTTTTAAGTCCTCCACAGAATAATATGAGAACAAAATTGGTTGTTGTCTTGCATTTGCTTGTGGTACGGAGCCAACTCCCTGAGACTCCATGGAAAGGAGGAGAGAAGGGGGCTAGAAGAAGGTCCTACAACCCAGACATCATGGAGTGGTGTTGCTGACAGGCGAATTGGAGCCTGTCACTTCAGCTTGTGTTAGATAGTGCTCAGCATGGTGACAGTCCCAAGAAACATTGCTCAGAAGAGTGTGGCAGAACATACCTACCGTTGATGCTTTCCAGGTTTGTTTCTGTTCTGTCAGGTGTAGAGAAGAACTGCAGAGCTGATGGAGTGGTAAGCTATTCCTTAAAACTGCTCCATAGTATGACCAGCTCAAACCACTGATCTGTCATAAGGTTTTGAAATGTCTTCTGACTGTCAGGATGGACTATTTGCTGCCTTTCTGTGCTTTTCTCTATTTATTCTCTTCTTTCATCGCTTACAGAATTACGTGTTCTCTCACTGATAAATAAAATGTGTGTTAAGTGTGTCCCATGAGGCTGATGTTTTTACAATTAAGTACTCTTTTATTCTCAGGGCTTCCAGAAATACGTGGAAGATTTTGATCCATATTCAATGGTAAGGAGAGAATTCAAATATGTCTCACTGTTTAATATGAAATCTATTAAAAAAACACATCCTTGATTTTGAGGGCTGGGAAGGGTGTAAGATTCTAGCTTGTTGGTTTGCTGGGGCTTTAACTTTTCTAGTCATGTTGAAAAGGAGCTTTCTTACAGGAAAAAAATCATCTGGTGTTCTGATCTTCTAACACTATTTTGGAGGAGGGAAAGGTCCCGTTTCCCCAATAAACTACATAGATCAGCTTAATTGTTTTGTGTTTCCAAGGTGGAAATGACTAATCATTATATTTTTTTTCATAGTTTACCCCAGAGCAGATTATGGGAAAAGATGTACGGCTATTACGAATTAAAAAGGTAAATACTATGTGATTTGATGGATTCATATTTAAAGGGTTAATGTAAGCATTTCATGCACAGTCCCGTTTACTGGGAAGAAGGAAAAATTAAGTTCTCGTTGATGGCAAAAATTATCAGCCTTTTCTGAACTACAACTCTTTCTTAATAGGAAGGATCATTAGATCTTGCAGTCGAGGGAGGAATTGATTCTCCAATTGGAAAGATAGTCGTGTCTGCCATCTATGAGGATGGTGCTGCAGATAAACATGGTGAGTAACAATGGGGAACCTGAATGCTGCTGCAAAGTGGCTCCTTACACTGGCTGAGAGTTGTTGTCTGACTTCATATCTCTGCTGAGTACCGAGAGGCACACTTAGATTGTCCAAGGCAGCCAAGTTCTGTCTCAGCTCTAAGGACAGCTCAGAGAGAGGCTTATGGTTTAAAGGATCTTTCTTAAATTAATATTTATATGTATATATTATAAATAATACTTAGGAGAAATGGTTGCTGCTGCTGTATTTTTATCATTACAGTATTTTCAATAATGTGGCCTGAAAATGTAGACCTGTTCTCTTAATAAGGACTCTCCTTTTTCCAGTATGATATTAAAAAAACAAAACAAAAACAAAAAACAAACCAAACCAAAATGAACACCTGGTCTCTGATATAATCTGTTAGTTATAGAAATCAGAATATGGTCTCCATGATTTTTTAATTTCCAAGTAATGATATTTGTTAGTACTTCCATATGCAAAGCAATTACCTGAGCATGGCTATACTATACTGCTTAGTTTTGTTCTTAATGCTTCTCCCAATAGTAATTCGTTTTGGAAAACATCTGGCTTTACTTCCCAAATCCCACTACAGTCCAGTGCCTTCTGGCTAAGAGCTTAGCTCTCTGGAAGGCACAAGAACATGCATGCCAACACATGCAGGGTTTGCTCCCGGTGGCCAGTATCTCTCATCCTTTGAGGATTTTCGCAATGACCGGGTAGATGCTCAGGACAGTATCTCCTTATGTTGTCTTTGCTGACCTTGTCCCAACCTAAGTACAAGTGACTCTTGCTGTGAAAACATCTCAGCCACTTGATCTCTCAAGTACTCTGTTTCTCTTTGACTCTCACTGTTGTGAGGGTCTCTTATAGCTAAGGCTTGTCCTCTTACATCTGTGTTTTCCTCTCTTCAATCCTAGCTAGCTGATTGTGCTTCATTCCAGATTAGCAAGTCAAAATCAGCTCTAAGGACTAAACATTATACATGCTCTTGCAAAGAAATGAGTCCTGCAAACCCTTGACAAATGCCACTTACACCTTCAGGTCTTTAAGCAATGCTTCCATTTTCATAGCAGTAACAGCCTACAGTCAACCTCAGTTTGTAAACTGTGTAGATTGATTACCCAGACAGGCTAACTGCTACTACAGAAAATCTTACTGAGCTACTTTCTTACTGGTTGTGATCAAGAAGAGATTAGTGTGGCTTTTCAGTGCCTAAAAAATTCCTTTTGCTTTTTCCTGTAGCAAATTTTCTTGCTGTGTCAGTTTTTAGTATAAGCCTCTACATCTAGTGAAGGCAATTTTTATTATATTCAGTACTTCATAAATATGGGACAGAAAAGACTCAGAGAATTTTTTTTTGCTTACGTGTATCTTTTTGCTTACGGGTATATGCCATGTTGGTCTTTTCACCAGGAGGCATAGTGAAAGGGGATGAAATATTAGCTGTAAATGGCAAGATATTAATTGACAGCAGGCTGTCAGAAGCACAGGCAACTCTAGCAAAAGCTTGGAACATGGGTGGGGTAAGTAACCTGGCATACTTCTTCATTCTACTACCTATAATGCTCATAAATTATACTTTTCTTTCATGACATGAACATGTCAACACAAATAAAAATAAGGTTGCAAACATCAAAAGTAACAGGTATGCCATGTACTACCAAAGTGAGCTGCAATCTGGGGAAGATACTGACACATAACGTCTCTGAAAATCATGCATGTAATTTACTGTGAAAGTTGATGGCATTTATCCACATGTCAAGATTGGCATTTAAACACATTACATTCTGAGTGTTTGCAGTATATTTATCTGTAGAATCTCTCTTTGATACTGTGAATGACTTGCAAGCTGATTAGAATTTTATGATAATAGCTTATCTTATCTTTGATTTCTTAATGAACAATTAACACTGCACTTCAGCTACAGTGAGTGTTTTCTCAGCAAAAACTGTATTAAATGCTAAAATGACCAAATACAGGATGTTTCTTAGAATAATTGTTTTTAAAAGCTTGTTGCAAGACCAGTAGATTTTTTTTTAAATTTCAGGATACAGACCAAACAACTCAATCCTGAAATGGTCTTCCTATAGAAATCTTTGATAGAAATCTTTCTGATGCTCCCTGTGGTTTTCCAGAAACAGATTGCCTTCCTGATTCTCTGTCTGATACTCCATGGTGGTCCACTAACCAACTCTAAAAGCAGTATTTAGCAGCACACATTTGCCTGTGCATTTCTTTTTCAGGACTGGATTGACTTAGTCATTGCGGCATCACCTCCAAAGGAATATGATGATGAAATGTAAGTGCATAAGCTTTCCTCCTCTGGGGATTAAAAGGCTAGTAACTGTAGTCTATACAGTTTTCTTTTTTTTTTTTTTTAATCAGACATATTTTAAGTATTTCCTTCTTGTGGACTACATAACCTTCTGCATCACATTGTTGCTAATTTGATAATTATAAGTAGCTATCATGCATTACAGCAGTGGTTCCCAGACTTTTCACAATGGTGATTCTCAGAGTTGGTTGTACATGATTACACAGTCATACTTTTGGTTTAAAGTTTGAGGATTTGGGTTTGGGTTTTGTTTGTAAGAAATTATATCAGTCTGGATCATTTACTGTGGCCCCATGGATCATAATTTGGGGAAACAAATGCTTCATCACATCCAGACATTTAATTCAATTTTGCAGGGTTTTTAATTAGATTGCAGTTACTATCCTCACCTAAGCCAACCTGAGTGTAAAATTTTTAAAAGAGCTAAGTGATTTTGGGTGTCTTGGCAATTTGTGGCATTTACAGAGTTCCTTTTTTTTAAAGATAATCAGCATAGGTGTGAAACAGAAGAATTCATGTCTTAAAGTGTGATAGAGGTATCATGTCGAGACAACTTGCTTTACTTCAGACAAACAGTTTCAAAAGCAAGACCATTTTCTAGCTTGACTGAAGGAAGAGATACCCTTACTACCGAGTAAAATGACAAAGGAAAGTTTCATAGTTACTGTTAACTCAGACTCTTGTTCTATGTGGAATACTAGAGTATTAGCTGCTGTAAATCAGAATAGTTTTACTGGCTAACACCAACTGAAGATTGCTGTAAAATTGTGTTTAATACCTGTGCATAAACTAATAAGCAAGGAAATAACTGTCATTGTTATTTTTGTTTTCATATCCTGTATATTTAGCCCTACTATTCCCTCATCAACAGTCAGTCCCAACACACAGAGAAAGGTTTTTGAAGGCAGTGCACCAGTGTACAGACAAGGGTATCTCCTGCAGCTGTAGCAACTGCAGTGTTCCCTCATGGTGAATAGCCAGACCTGGGTTAACATGACTGTCCATTGTGAGGCTGCGTTATTTTTTTCAGCATGTGCTTGCCTGTGCATTGCATGCCATGCTTGCTTTTGTTCCTGGCATGCTGGAGTGTTCTTTGGGCTTTTGCCATGCCTGTCCTACTAAAATATAAGTATTTAGTTTCGACTTCATAATGTCCCTTAGAGGTCCTCTGCAGAATTGGTTTATCATCTGCCAGACTATAAAATAAATAGGCCCTGCCTGAACAAGTAGGATTAATCTAGTTGTTTTTCCTTATCTGTGGACCACTGCTGTGGCTTTGTGAATTCATAAGTATAAGTAATTATTTCCTTGTTAAGGCTTGTCCAAAGAACAAATTTCCATTTGTATTATATGACAGAGTGCCTGTAAACAAGTATTCATGACTGTTTGGTTTTCACTGAAGTTTGCCTGTGTTAATTTGTCACTATAAAATGGGTTTGTCCCAAATTTATCCTCATGTCACAAACTCAGTTTACTGTGTATGGTTTCTCTATGCTGTAATTACTGTAAGTACTGTCATAGATCTCTAGAAGAACCAAGGTAACATTTCTTGGTGCATGTGGGTATTTGTGGTCTTCTCAATTATTACTTACAACACAAATCAAAATGACTCAACTGAGATCCAGTTATATAAAATTGTGCTTATCAGAAAGACTAAAAATTGCACTACAGCTAACAGCATCTGTTTCACCATCTCTTTCTTTTTTCTGCAGGACATTTTTTTAAAGAAGGCTACACTGGAGAAATGAAGTCTTTCCCCTGCAGAAACCTGCTGCTCTGTAAATTGATATGAAATCAATAACCATATGAAATACATCTTTATTTAAAGAAACGTGAATAATCAGACCTGTAAATTGAACTAGAGACCAGATTCTTCGGGTAATTTGAGTAATTTCAAATTCTACAGGCATACAGCAAGAGATTTTTGCAAGATCATTGAAAAGGACTGCCAGTGAGCATAGTTTGGTCTGTGAGAACTGAGTCTATATTTTGCTATTTTGGGGGGCCAAATTTTGAAAGTTATCTTCCCATTTTCTTGGAAATAGACACTAAAATGACAAATGAAGATAGAACACAGATGTCTGTTCCCACATGCAACACTTGTGATTACACGTTCACAGGCCAGTTTGGGTGTGAAAAGGATTATATTTTTACTCCGTACATAGTGATTTTCCCTGGGAAAGCGGGAATGTATATAGGTAACTTCTGTTCTCGCTCGTATTCTTGTAGCTCTCTTAATGTCCATTTCTATTGCTCGGTTGTGAGTTGTTTTGAGTATAAAAACCCTGCCAGCAGAAGAACCAGTAACACTAGGAGTGCTAGCATTATAAGGAGTAATTTTGGTGATGCTTATACAGTATAAGGAGTCTTCTCTACCAGCAAAGTAAATAGCTAGCAAGTAGTCCAGATAAAATCATTATGTGTAGTCACAGTTATGCTACCAAGTATTTGTATTGATGGCAAAAATTACTCCCTCATATAGTCATGCATGGAAAATTTGGGTGTGATTCAGTCTGCAGTTATGTACTTTGTTCTCAGTGAGTCTATATGTGTGACTAAACTGTGCAGGAAGTCACTAAGTCTAAGGTTTCACTCTTGGTGACTATATGTCTTCTGATAAGCATATTCCTCAAGACCATAAAATCTATACTAACCTAGCTTTAAATAAGTATGATTACAGTTGTAGACTTTTTTTTTTTTTTTGGTATTATCAAGATACCTCCTTAGAAATGTCATTGTCTTCCTTTCTTCCTTGTATCTGCCAGTTTGTATTCTGATTTTTATATTGTGTTTAGATGTTTCTTATCTGGACTAATGAGAGCCAGTTTATAGTTCTTTGGCATATCAAATTCCCACTGAAGTCTTGTCTTTTCAGGGTTTGGAAACTCTCCGTAATACAGAAAAATGACAATTATGTTCATGAGAACTCTGTACTTATACGGAGATGATTAATTACATTGACTTTCTTCATTTGTCGTATTGTTCCAGTATGCCAATTAATGTGTCTGGCAGGGTACACATGTTAGAATGTTTTAAATTTTAACTCTTGCAACTAATACAGAAATAAAATTGCATTTGCCAAATGGAAGAAGTCTTGTTTCTTCTTTGTCTTCGGGTTTGTATACTATAATAATAGTTAATCTGCTAAAGTACACAGATTTCTGAGTTGATCTTTAATAACAGACCCATTTGGAACAAAATGCCACCCTTGTGAAATTCAAAAGAAAATTCACTCTGCACAGTAGGGAATTGTCACTTGGCTGAGCTGCAGGAATCTTTTACTGAGGTTTTATGGGCAAATCTGGTCATTTGTAAGTTGGCAAGCTACTGAGTGCAGCTGCTTCGGTTTATTTTGTTTGCTTGGTCTTTGGGTGCATCTACCCAGAGCTGTAGGCTTCCTAACCAACCATCTAATCTTAAATGCATCAAGATTAGCACCAGAGGGAAAAACTGCAGCAGGATGTACTCCTCCTGCTGCTCTGGTTCTCAGTTGCCTACATACTGCAACCATCTGGACCGTATGACAATGCAGATAGATGAGTGATGCTATCAAATGCTCTCTTAAGGGATGCTCTGATGCTACGTACCAGCATATAGAGCACCACAGTAATGCACCAGTAATGAACTTCAGCCTGCAACCAGTGCTTGATTGTGCTGATCCTTGCCTCAGCACACTAAGAAACATAACATGGAAAACTTAAGGATTAGATATTAGAAACATTTTTTTACTGGTGGTATTTCTTCAGAGACAAAAGGAGCACAGAAGACTGAGCTGGGAAATCTGTGGGAGTACCAACAGTTTAGTTGTAGCCTTGATTTTTAGTCACAAAGCTATCTTTCCTCTCCCCATCTAACCTGTTAACTTGATTTGCTTGGATATAGCTTAAAATGCATGAGAGGCTGCTGAGGAAATAGTTACTGCTCATTACTTTATGTATATAAGGAAGTGTTACTTTGTGTGTTTAACCTGTGTTAGGATGGCAAAGTAAGGAGGTGGTGTTAGAGAAAAGGAGGCTGACACTTCTGAAATCTTAAAATTATCTTAAGCCATTAGTCGGGTAGTTTTTTAATTTATTTCTGGCTTTCAGTGCCCTGGGACTGGATCACATCTTTCATTTGCCAGATAGCTCAAGGACTTGGAGAAAGCTACAAGAAAATACAGTTTTCAAGCAGCTTCCCTTTCAGTTACTTTGGTATGTGTGAGCAGAGTGTCCTAGATGTAAATCATTTAAACAGGAGTGCCCATTTGAGTTGCTACCGCATTGTTTTCTGGTGGCTGTAATAGTCACTACATGTGCCCATGCCTCACCCCTGTTCAATCAAGCCATCTGCAAAAAGATGACAGTAAGGGTAAATGGGACTTTCTCTTTTTTTCAGCCAATGCTGAGTTTCCTTTGGGAGTATGGAAACTCTGACCTGATGCACAAAGCAGGAAGAAGTCCAAGTACTTCGCTGACAGTATCACGAACGCTTCAAACCCTTTTAAACATAAGATAGTTTTTGTTTTTCATTTGCTGTAATCTCAGAGGGAATACATCTAGTTTCTCAGAGCTGTTTGTTTGGTTAAGACCGCTAAAACCCACTATCTATCTCTATGGGATAATAACCCAGAGGAAGAGTTTCTCAGAACTGTTAACAATCATTCTTATTCTCTCAGGAATTTCTTGGCCATGTTAGTCACAGTGTTGTATTCAGCATGCACTCAGTTGCTGAACTGAGGCTTGAATTCCATTACAGACCTGTGAATTTGCATATACTCTGTGAGCCTGTGCGTGCCTGTGTGCAGGCAAAAAATGTGAAACCTTATGGAGCAGAAACATGACATGCATTACAGGAGAGGAAATACCCTTGTTTATTACTCATATGGATATTTGAGTAGGGAAGTATTTGATCTATTTATTACTGCCATTCTACAACTTTAAGAATTCATAGTTTGGCCATTATTTAATCATATGACTATGGCATCTTTAAAATTCATAAGTATGTTTTAAAGAAGTTACAATTTTTTTAAAAATGCTCAATTCATAAACAAATTTATATACATAAAGAATATATGTGTATAAGTGTACGCACACTAGTAAGATATTTTTTTTAATCAATTTGAGTAGCACATGTACAAATAATCTCAGCAATTCACAAATATGTGATGCAACCTCTGAATGTAAATGTTATAAACCCTCTTACCTTAGAAACAGGACTGAAGGACAGGGTTTCTTGTCAAAGGATGTATATCTGGTTTTAAGGAGCTTGGTACTCAATAGCTGCTGACATGTTTTCTGTATGCTTTAACTGTATGTTGACTTTAATGAAGCAGGGTTGGACTCAGGGTAGCTGCTGTGGAATTCTTAGCCACCCTTCACCAAAGAAATGTCCCCCTGGGATCTGTGCTGACATGAACTGTCACCTTTACACCATCTAAAACCCAGGTCTAGTGTATAATAGGAAAGTCAGACTCTTACCTGTAAGGAGCTGACCCTTAGGATTATAAATCAGATGAGTCTAAAATCCCTTATTATCAACTCACAGTAAGCTAATAAGTGTTTGATCCTGATACTCAGTTTGTCCTCCAGTTTTTTTCTGCCCATTTTATCTTTTTCCATTGTTCTTGTTCTCAGGGGTTTTCTGGATTTTTTTTTTCCTGACCTTCAGAAATTTCTGGAGGATATTCCAAAATTCCCTTCCTGCAGGCTTGAAATCTGAGGAGGCTCCAGGTGGGCTGCTCACAAGTCTCTTTTCAGAGATTGACTAGGATGCTTGCTTTCCTTCCTAAGGAAGGCAGCAGAAAGTTTGCCTCTGCTGGAATACTGGGGGCCTCTGCTGGAATACTTCTTCGTCTATTGCTAGATCTGCATTTGCTGTGTTATTGCAGGAAACAGATTATAGTACAGCACTTTGGAGGGGCTCAGGATCTATCTATATTTACAACAAGGTAACTTGGGCTAACTTTGATCTTCACTGAAAGCATCTAAGATGAAAGAAGAAGTGGAGACAGACATAGGAAAAGCAATCAGTAAGATGTCTGTTCTCTAGAAAGGAACTTTTTTTTGAAATGTGAAGCATATTCAGCTTTAAGAGGATCATGGATTACAGGTAAGAAAAAAGTGTTCTCTGGACCGTGATGCTGAATGTGTATGGTAATGTCCAATGAAGGCGCTAAACTATTAGCGTAACAACCACTGGTGGGAAGTTTCAAGGAATTAATTTTGAACAAGTGTGTTGCGGAGTGGCAACTCTTGGATGCTTAGGTCTGAATGGCTGGTGTTCAACTCGGACTGTTTCTCTACATGGAAAAAATGTGGTGTCTGATGTACTGCAGATAGCTGCTTCATCCAGTATCACAAAACCTGCTGCATGACTAGCAGTGGATATCCCTTACACAGCTGAGAGGTAATTGTGCTTGATAGATACTTCCCACTTATAAGGTAACCATAGACTAGAACAAGCAAGGCTCTGATCCAGCAAAGCACTTAAGTACATGCTTAATTTAAGCATATAAGCCAATCCCATTGACATAGGTTGAGTTCAATAATACTGCTCAGGCTTAAGTACTTTGCTGGATTGGGGCCTGAAGTCAAAATCTGAAGGCAAGGGATGCGTTAGCCCTGGAGATGCTTATTGTGGAAAGTTGTTACTGTTAATGCTGAGGTTCTAGTATTCATATTGAATTGCAGTTCCCCTTAATTTTCATAAATAGTCTTTAAAGGTTATTCTTCCCGACAGCCCCCACTGACCATTTTCTTGGATTATCTTCCTCTTATCTTTTCTCACCATTTCTCTTCCAGACATCAGTAGAACTCATTAGCCTTCAATAGCTATAACAGAGTTTGTTTATATGGTGCTTAAAAGAAAGTTTGGGAGAGAGAGAGACTGAGACCCTCCCAACATAAACTGAGTAAGATAGAAATCAGACAGCTTTTTGAGGACAGGGACTTTTCTAAGGTGTAAGGAAGTGAGAGGGAAAGTTGCTAACGGTTATTCTTTATGTAACGCTACCCCACCACCACCACATCACCCCCCAAAAAAACCCTTCAAATTACTTTTCTCTGACTTTTTTCTTTTCCATCTGCCTTTCCCCTAAGCAGTTCTGATGCTTTAGCAAGCGGGGGACTGAGACCCTGTGTTCATGCTGGCAACAGCTTGAGGCTTTTGAGTGTTAATGCCACTTAATAGAGAGAGTGTAACACCAGATAGAAAACATTTAATTAGAAACACTGAGCACAAAATTAAGCTTTGATTAAAATCTTGTGGTAAGTATTTCCTTGACAGGGTGAAATAGCTTTTCTGGATTATCCTTTGAAACTGAGTAGATCATAATTTTCCAAGTAATAACAGGTTTTTGTTACCCTTTCTCCCTCTCCCAGCATAAAACCTGAAATTTTCAGAGAAACATCCAGGAACACTTTTTGATCAGCAGCAATTCCAACAGCAAGGAAGGACAGAGGGAAAGAAAGAGGAGAAATGTATGTTTCCATTTTGATTATTCACAAAGAATCGTGATGAAACAGATCTTTGGATGTGAAGTATCAACCTGGTAGGACTGAAGAAATTGCATACAGTTCCTTAGTGAAATTCAGGCAGCTCCATCTTAGTGCAGAGGAGAGACATGCATAGCAGGAATCAAAAACTGAAGAGTTCTTCAATCTGGGTGAGAGAATTCCGGTTCAGAGCAATCACTCATAACAGACATCAAGCTGTTTATACTGAGATTGTAGCTGTTTAAGAGAATAGAAGGAACTCAGATTGAGGTGTGTCCATTGTGCTCCTGAGTCCAGGTTGCTTTTTCTTCATGAAGGGGAAGGCATCCCCATCACATATCCCACACATCTGGGTATGGGCACATTTTTCAAATAAATCAGCATTGATATAATGAAGTTAGTGCACATGGCATGCTGTGGTCTACAAATAATGCAAATGATCAAGGCACAAGGTCCAGATTGAGAGATGGAGAACAGAAGCAAGTCTGTTCTCCAACCAACATACACATTTCTCACCAGTGATTTCAATGTTAACAGGTGGGTACAACTTAGTTTATAATGTTGCTTTTCTTCTTGGAGTACAGAATTTGATTGCAACATATTTG